TATCAAATAACTCGTTCAAAATATAAATTTTAAAGTAACTCCTAAAGAAATTAAATAGAGACTTTACTTTAATAATTATTAACTCGCCGAAGACCATTTAATATTTTATATATTTTATAAACTATTAGAATATTACGTATCAAATATTCTTAAATACGTTATAATCCAAAAAATCGACGGCTTATTAATAACAATTAATACTCATATTTATATACTCGCTAAATTTACTACTATTATTACTAATAAGAACTTACGTAATAAAGATGTAAAATGCTTTTTTTAAAGTATAGCTAACGTAAAGAAAAACGGTAGGTTAGTTTTAATTAAATAAGAATAAACGTATAAAGTTAGGGTTCAGGGAATCGTTAAAAATAATAAAGGCAATTTCCAATATATTAAACAATACGGCTTTAATTATAAACGGTTCCTCGTAATCGCCGCACACTAGTTATATTAAATATTCGGCCAAGTAATATAAATATAAAATATTCATTTTCGGGCAATGTCTAAAAGCTATTGGAAGAATAAAGATAAAAGAAATATAGTTACGCTAATTAAACCGTAGTAATTAAAAATAAAATAGGATAGAAAATAATCTGGAAAAGTATAATATAATAAAGAGAAATTAGAAGGAATTAAATTCAATTAAATACAATATATCTACTACTTAAATACTATTAAGTCCCTCGATAGCAACTTGTACGAACATATTACAAGGGAGAAATCGGTCGATATAGGATCTTCTTATATATATAGTCTAATTTATTTCATATATACTTTTATAATAGAAATATATATATAAATTAAGAATTTTAGAGTTTAAGTACGTTTTTAAATACCTTTTATTTTAATTAACTTTTTAATTCTTTTTATATATAATTAATTATAATAAATGAAATAATATCAAAGAAAGGAAGAAACTATTCAAATTAACCGTTTATATAGGAAAAATATATTATATAAAGGCAAAATATGATATATAAAATAATCTAAACTCTAATTAATAATTAAATATAAAAGCTTTTATAATAGCTTAATAATTTAAGCCGTTATTACTAAATTAAATAATAACATTTTAAATATATAAATATTTAAGAATTCCCCTCTTATATATACTAAATAATAAAAAATTCTATTCGTACTGTAGAATAAATCTATTTAAACTATATAATAAAATTAAATTTTGAAATTAAATTATAAGGTTAGAATTTATAAACCTTTAATTCAATTAAGAATTCATTATAATTTTCTTTTTATCTTTTAATACTTAATATATATTTATATACTTATTATAATTTTAAAAAGTTATAAAGGGTTAAAAAGTCTGTTATAATATTAATAATTTAAGAAAATTATATTAATCTTTTTATTATAAGGATTATATATAATTAGCCAATATAGTATAACTACTAAAGGATTAAGAAAAAAATAAGAAAAATCCTTATTTAATTCTCTAAACCTAAAGTCTTTTTATTTATTTAAAATTGAAATATTTTTAATTTTTATTTATAGTTAGAATAGAATTTCTTTATAGTACGAATATAATTTTCCTAAATAATATATATATTTATATATATATATATAATTAATTATAACGCTTCCTTCATTCTCGTTTATAAATATACTCTTTTTATATTAAATTGAATATATATTTTCTATTATCTTTAATATATTTAAAGACTTTTATTACTCAATCCTTCCTTTTATAATACTTTATTATTTACTAATTTAAAAAAAAAAATTTTCTTCTAATTTTTCTTAAAAGTTAAAAAGGGTAAAGAGGTAAATATAAATATAAATAATTATCCTACGTAACAATTTCGTCCTATAATCAATAATTTTAAATTTTAAATATATTTTTAAATATCCATTATTTTTAGCGCATTTATTTATATATATTATAATATAATTATATATTAATCAAAATTAATATCGAAGGCCTTATAATTTATTAATATAGTTAGTAAGATAATAAAGTAAGTAATAATAATAAAAGGAATAGGAAGGTTTGGAAGCTAGGTAGGGCCTAGCGCAATTTAAATATTAAATTAAGTATAAAGGTTCTAAGAACCTTTATTCTAAATAAAATATTTATAATTAAATTAAATTATTCTAGAGAGTTCTAAAGGAAACCAAAGGCTTCTTATATTATTTATAATATAAATTCTATATAATCACCCTATAATATATATATATATATAGATCTATATATATAAATTATTAAATAAAATCATATAAAGGATAATAATTTTCGCGTTTTATTCTATTTAATATCTTTGATATTTATGAACCTTCAAAACTCATATATATTTATTTAAATATAATACTAATTAATTTTCTAATTTAATCTTAATAAAATTCTTTAATTTCTTTTTATATTACTTTTTATTTTATTAAATTAAAATATTATTTTTAAAATTAATTCTTAACCATTAGATTAAATTCTTTTACTTTAAAAGCAATAACTTATTTTATCTATTATTTATTTACCTTCAATATAATAAAACTTTCAAAAATAATATATAATATTAATTCCGAAAATAAATTTATATAATTAAACGGAATTCTTAATAAGTAAATAGGTCTTTAATAAATAACTAATTAAACGTATTTTATACATTTAAAACCGTAATATCCTATTACTTTCGAATTATAATTTAAACCTTTAATACATTTCGGACTTACGCTTAATAATCTCAATGCAAACCCAAGCTAAAACCTTCTTCAAATCCTTTACTTTGCAACCACGGATAATTTTGGTAGAAAACGGGACTTTACCCTACTTAACCTTCTCCTCGGCCTTTTCGAACGCTAAATAATATATTAATAAATGAATTTAAAGTATTCGGAAGAAATAGAAATAAATTATACTAATACGCAAATTACAATTAGTATTATCGCCCTTAAAATAATATTTAGTATAAGCGCTTTTAATAACGCTTCTACCTATAGAAATACATTCGGAAAAAAACCAAAAAAGCCAACCAAAATATATTTATTGTACGGGCTATCATTAATTTAAATATTAAAAAGATAGCCAACAATACCAATAAAATATTCCGAATAATTCTACTTTAAAGCCGAAATTAGAAATTCGTTATTATCCCAATATCTTTTAAAAGAAACGCAATGAACAATCTCCCATACTCTTTTATTAAATTCAATTACCTTTAATATCGGTTAATCGACTCTAATAAATATTTTTACTTTATTTATAACTATAATAGTATATACTTCGTTAATGTTATATTTTAATATTTTTTTAATAATAAAGCGCAAACGCTTCTTTTAAAGCTAAACGTAATCAAATTTTACCAAATCTTCGTCAGCCTCTATATTTACAGCTAAAGATTCGCCCTAAAAAGTATAGGGGCGGAACTACTTAATAAACTCGCTTTCCTCGTTAACGGACATACTTTCCTTCTTCAACGTTAGTTTAAAATAAATATATATTAATTTTACATATAGTATACGCTTACAAATTGATTTTAATACGTCGCAACCGTTAAAAAATATTAAAATATTATTATAACAAAAGTATTTACATATATTAAAGTACACGAAGATACGGGGTTATATAGAATGTAAGATAAACTTAATTACTAAACTAAATCTACGCTAACGCGCCTGGGCGCGTCCCTAGTGCCTGTAGTTGATATGGGCCATTTTTCAACCAAACTTTTTCAATTGGGCCTAAGACGCACTTGGGCCACCGTAGAAGACGGAGAGACTCGACGATGATTTGACTGATGCAAATGCAGATAGGTAGCAATGATATAGTCTAGAGTCTTTGAAGGTTTGTTGGTTTCCATCTACTCGCCTAGAATTATCGACACTAGACTTTGTCTAGACATGCATAAAACGAAATGAAAGGAAGGTGCGTAGTGATTCGCCAATAGCAGCCCAAGCGGCCGCAATGCACCGCTCCCGCAGCGAATGCAATGCAGGCCTGCCGCTCTGTCTGTGTCTGTGGATTTTGCGGGCTGCCAAGTGGGGGAGACCCAAGCACAAAAATGTTCGCGGTAAAGCCGCGGCCGGGTCCGAGGTCAGATGAACACGGGAGGCCGGGGCTCTTGGCGCAACCTCAGGACAGCCGACGGCGGCGGACGGGTCCTGACAGCTGCACCTTCTCTCCTCCCCCACGGACGTTGCTTAGATGTTTTATGGGGAATCCTGCATCTCCTGTTGGCATCTCCAGAGGTTCGCGTACACTGCCGACATGCCCATTTCCCGGCCGTTGCAAGAAGGTCAGAAGACTCGCCTCACATCGCACAAGTGAATCAAATAAACGAGTGCCAGTCTTCCGACGTGTCACCGACGCCTAAAATGGCCAGGGCAGCCAAAATCAACTGAGCAGCTGGGGTAGACCTCAAATGACCCGAAAAATATATAAAAATCAACGTTCGGATGACCGACTGCCAGGAAGAGCCTCACGTAGATCAACGATCAGCACTGCACTGCGGTTCGGTTCGGGCGATCCATCCACATTCCACACGGCACCTGGGCGCTTCTTCGGCTTACTTACCGCAACCTGAAAGTAGGAATGGCGCACCTTTCTCCCACCCACCCACCACTACACGGGCTTGGACGACGTTCGGACGGCAAATACGATGTGTAATATGCTTGAAACACCATGTGTAACTTGCTGAATACGGCGTCACACCTACTTCCTCTGGTGCCAGACTGCTGGTGATGCGGCCTCGGAATCACATCAACCAAATACCGAGCCATTCCCATGGCATGAAATATGTCTGTCCTTCGTCATCCCATCATGTTAAGCTTTCAGAGGAATAACCAGTTTACAACTGGCCTAAACAAGCTCAGTTGATACCTCGAGTCAAAGCCCCTTCAAGAGTCCTGTCAGTCAATCACTCAACATAGCCCTTCCTCGTATGAAGCTTCACTCACCTCATTCATCGTCGTATCCTTGATATTGCTTATCCTCCCTATATTCTTTCATAGACTTCTGAGCACTGACTCCAACACTATTCTCACCTTCCTCACACCTCGTGCGTCTCAAGTTGATCTGTCGCTCCTCTCTTTAGTTCAAAGTTCTCCCTCTCCAACTGCTCAACTCTCTTCCTCATCTGTTCCATCCCCTCAGACACTCCAACACTAAGCTCTTCAATGATCTTGATAAGCCTCCAGAGACGCAGGACAATGATCAGCTCCGCAATTTCCTCGATGCCGCCTCCATGCAACACCAGCATGACAACATCCACAGCAAAGCTAGCAACGATGACCGTGGCATCCAGCCAGTGAAACCACTCTCCAAAGAAGCTTTTGAAGCCGCAATCATCCAGCATAACCAGTTAGCCAACGATCTATCAATCTTCAAATGAACCGAGCCGAAAGTAACGAAATCACAAACTCACCCAGCTCCAAAAGCCCAAATCATCCCCGCCAACTCAACCAGGAACAGCGAGCTGACCACCGTCCCAAACACATGCAATCCCTCCCTCGTCTCCGCCACCCATTTTGCACTCTCCTGCTTCAAGTCGCAGGCTATTAGGGCGACAAAGACGTCAGCCACGATGGATGCTACGTCCAATGCCACCAGAGCTAGGACGATGTAGTGTTTTGTTTTGGACGAGAGGAACGCCCTTGCTTGTGCTCGGAGGTGTTGGTGTGGCCATGACGATGATGATGATGATGATGGTTCAGAGAAGAGGCCATTTCGAGATGAGGACGAGGATAAATTTCTTCCTCTGCTGGGCGTCGCTGCGAGTGCGCAGAGAGGAGGACTTGGAGAGCCTGGCTCTGTCATTCTTTCTGCGAGAATCAAGAATGGGTTCGTCGGGGCGATGCCAGATGGGTTGGATGTGGATGAATGTTAAGTTTTGGGTACGAAACGGAAGAAGCATCAAGAGGGAGATGGTGACGGGTGAAGCGTTTGTGCATGGGTTTGTGTGTCGTCTCACGAGGCGTATCAAATCTGCTGTAAAATTGGAGTGGCCTAAGTATATGACATGCTGAACGGCCGTGGGAGGAGCAACAACTTCATGAGAGTAGGTACCCGTTCCAGCGACCTGGAGAAGCAAAGAGGCAAGAACGACGATGGATTCGTGGAAGGCAGCATGGATCGATGGAATGGCCATAAATCCACGGCAAGAGCGTTTCATAATGCTGGAGGTATGGATCAGACTGAACTTAGGTGCAGGTAAGTATGATTTGAAATTAAAGTGTGTCTGAGTAGGAACAACTACTTCTACAGAAGAAATATCACCATCCTACTTCCATTGTCACAAGGAATTTAGTAAAGTCATATAAGCTTACGGATGGAAAGCGGATAGTATCCTGCGCTCACATGGGAGCAAGGCGTAGTTAATGGACTTTTGTTTGACTGAAGCGCCCCTCAGGCAAATCTGAGATTTAATTTCACTTTGGCATCAGCAGGCCTTGAGCCTTTTGCCCCTTGAACTCAAGACCGGACTGAACGGCCAAACAAACCACGTTCGGATGACATTATGCATGAAGACTTTAATCCAACCTCATGTGTCACAATAGACAAAAGGGGTATCATTAGATGCTTCAGTCGGCACCCTCGAGACATTATTATTTACAATACTCCGCCGTTTGTGACAAACCGCCATATCTTCGATCTCATATACCTCGCTTCCAGAGCCAGGCGGAGCGTTGAATCTTGGAAGTCCATCCATCTGATTATGATACACGAGTCCGAACAGTCCCTGCAAGCATATCCCGAGGCAGTTCCTATGTAATGGCTAGTAAAGGGGCCGAGAAATTCCATAAACACAAAACCATGCTAACCTTTCACCGTGCAAGTCTAACTCCAAAAACATCAATGCAAGAGAACGAAATTCCCAGCCAAAGAGAAAGAGTACACTGACACGTCTTTATGGTATAATGGTGAACCAACGCCCTAGATGCAAATCGCTACCTCTCCATGAAAATGATTCCCTTCCCAGCCCAGCCCGGATTCCTCCCAATGAATGCCATGATTCTCCGGTTACGCTAGCCCTTGACCGCAGAGAAATGCAAATGTGTTGGTTGAATGCCCCCCGCCAAGATGAAGCCCAGTTCGTACTCCATGCATGTATCTCTGCCGCGAGGCATCTGTCGTCTTTCTAGCGAAAAGAAGTTCCGCCGTGCCTGTGTTTAGGTGTGGCGGCTCCTTTTCGAGTTCTGGTTGAAGGGATCCTTGTCGTTGCCAGGCCCAAAGTTGTCGATTCGAAAGAATTCTGCAAGGTCGACCACCTTTCGCTTTTGTCCTGCACCACGGCCAAGTGTTCGTGTAGCAGATTGTCTGAGGGCGCGGTTTCTGTTGTTCCGCGAACTTGTCGAGGTCGAACCGGAGCGATTCCTGGGAGGATCGGAAAGCGCCAGATTTTCCAGCTTCATTGCCTCCTCGTGAGGAAAGGGGTGTGCTGATTGAAAGGTGAATGTTTCTTGCGTTGGGACCACAATTTGGAAGTCCTCTGAGTTGGAAGGCGGCTGTCTTTGCTGTTGCTGGTGCTCCTGCTGCGGCTGTTGGTGATCCTGGGGTTGTTCTTGCTGGGGAGGTTCGAAGACAGCAGGGGCAGGCGGCGAGTCTCTCATTTGATCCTCCTCTTGAATTGGATCTGAAGATTGCGCCTGGGGCGATAGTGCGGGCTCGATCTTGTCGTCATCGTCGCTCTCTACCGTGGGGATATCCCGACCGTCCAAGCGCTCCGTCGCCCAACTCCGAATTGTCCATCCTTCGCCGTCACTCAAGCCCAACCTCCTCCTGTCGAGAAACGCAAGAAGATCGTCGAGACAGTCTTGGTAGCCCTCGCTACGTGCCTTTGCGACGGCGGGACCGGTGGTCTTGTAGAGCTTAGTCACCGACAAAGCGGCTGCCTTGAAGGCTTCGAGAAGATCGTTGGAGTCGGCGCTCATTGCGGCGGACTGGTGAAAAAGTTGTATTGTGAAATAAACGCAGCGCTGTTTGCTTGTTGTAGGATGTTGCTTGTTGCCGAGAGGGTGGTTAGGGTGGTTGTAGCCAAATGTGCGGTCTAGAGAAACAAAGAAAGACAAAGCTCGCTGATGAGTCGGTGATGGTTTGTCAGGAGGAATGCAATGATGTCTTTCGGGGCTGAGGTGGGTAGGGCCAGGAGGGGTTTTTGCTGGAGTATCGCATGTGGGTCAGTTCCGTTGCTAGTGGATACGAAGCGAAGTGAGGGAGTTGTCTGGACCCTTTCGATTGGATGGAGTCGCTGATGTTTAAACAAGCACGTGTGTACACAGTACAGTCATTACATGGTGCCCAAGCTTACCTTGCCGTGTCAATACACTACAAGGTGCTAACAAAAGGTTCTGAACTGCAAGAATGAACAATCGAAAGTTTCGAGTTGCAACCGTGCACTTTGGCGGTCGGACTTGAACTTAGTTTCCCAGACGTGGACTCGAGGCTGGTGGAACTTTCCAGTTTGGTGGATGAGCAAGACGAAATCGCCTTGGTCATTCCTGCCAGGCGGCATTCCAGTTCCTTCCAAGCAGCGTGAACGTGAAGTGGAGTCGGCGTATCTGTGCACCTACCATCTGCACCATGCGCAACAGGTAATTCGATGTTTGACAGTTGATGGTGTGGCGTCGCCCGTACTTTGTAGATAGAGCAAGCTTAAATACACTGTGGGGATCAGGCACTGGCATGGCAACGGAAAGTTTGCGGGCAGGAGGTAAAGACTGAAGGTCGGCCAGAAGATTGAAAGAAACTACAAATACATACGTACGGTGGTGCTTTTTTTGAACTGATCTATGGATGATACCTTGACTGAAGAAACAGGTGACGGGGAATGACAGTTAGGATTCCCTCTATGTACCTTACCATGTAGCTCTTACAAGTAAAGATGGCCACTGCCCCTGCTCGATGTATGCTGTGCCTGAACTAACCGACTTTAGTGCAGGCGGGAGTTAAGTTTCGGCCTCTGCGCAACCGCGGGCGATACCTTCCATTTGACTTAAAAGAACCTATCAACATCTGTGTACCTCTACAAACAGGAGCAACACATAGCAGGAACAAACCAAACGGTTATCCCTAGAGGTATAACTTCCGCAGCATAAGTCGAGGTTTCTAAACCCTACCGTACGTCAGAGTGCCCCGAAAGCGTCTAGCGTGCGATCCAAACAGGGACCCGACCGGCAAGGTACCGGCTGGCAGACGCCAAAGGCTTGCGTCTCAGCTGCCCGGCACTCGACTTGATCCCCTCCGTTATCTGGACCCTGTGATTGGCTGAATGAGACGCGGTTTCGCCCATTTGGGATCCTCGACTCTCGAGAAATTCCCACCTACGACCATCTCGACCCTTCAACAAACAGCATTTCCAGACCGCGCTTCCTTCTCGTCAACCTGCCAGTCAACCACGAGGTCGCTGGCCATCACCAAACTCATTCCAGAAACGAGGACATTTGCACCGCTTGCGCTGCAACCGACATCACCCACAGAAGCGCGTTCCAGTCGCGTTTAAGTGGTTTTGGGCCGTCTAAGCCAGGGGCCTTCCAGTCTGGACTCCGGTTCACCTTCAACCGAACAAGCGGACGAACAACACGACACTGCACCAACCAAACAAAAACCCCCACCATCATGGCCCCACGTTCGCGACAGCCCGTCAACGACGACGACGCGTCAATGCCTGACGCCCCAGAGACTTCCAATGCTCCCGCATCAGAGATGGTATGAGGCCTACACTTTCAATAAATGCGCCTTTGCGCCAATGCACTTTGCTTTTCACGGCAATGGAACTGACGTTTGACCGCGGCCGTACAGGAGGTCGACGAGACGCCCGACTACACCGACTCTGACACGAACCCAAATACTACCGAGAGCAGCGTCGCAGGCGAGCCAGTAGATGGGCGTAGGAAGCGATCTGAGGCCAACCAACTACGACGGAGCATTTTCGGCAAAAAGCATGACAGACTAGGAGAGTCCAAGGTAAGCTATTCCAACCGTACATCTCAGACTGTCCTTACGTCTCGAATCTTGGTCCTCCGTCGCAACTGCTCGGTGCACTCTTTTTCGTGATCCTAACTCGGCTCCAGGAAGATGATTCGCTCCGAAGATTCCGCTACCTCCTCGGCCTGACCGACCTTTTCCGTCATTTCATCGAGACAAACCCGAACCCCAAGATCCGCGAGATTATGGCCGAAATTGATCGCCAAAATGCCGAGGACGCAAAGTCAAAGAAGGGCGCTGGTCGCCAAGGCGGTGCTACTAGTGAGAGGCGTCGTCGGACCGAAGCTGAGGAAGACGCCGAGTTGCTCAAGGACGAGAAGGTAGGAGGCTCCGCCGAAACCGTCTTCCGCGAGTCGCCCGCCTTTATTCAGGGCACCATGAGGGACTACCAGATTGCCGGTCTCAACTGGCTGATCTCCCTCCACGAAAACGGCATCTCGGGCATCCTGGCCGACGAAATGGGTCTCGGAAAGACACTACAGACCATCTCCTTCTTGGGTTATCTGCGGCACATCATGGATACTACCGGTCCCCATTTGGTCATTGTTCCCAAATCGACTCTGGACAACTGGAAGCGCGAGTTTGCCAAGTGGACACCAGAAGTGAACGTGCTGGTGCTACAGGGTGCCAAGGAGGAGCGTCAGCAGCTCATCCAAGACCGCCTTGTGGATGAGAACTTCGACGTTTGCATCACCAGTTACGAGATGATTCTCAGGGAGAAGGCTCACTTGAAGAAGTTTGCCTGGGAGTACATCATCATTGATGAGGCCCATCGTATCAAGAACGAAGAGTCCTCGCTGGCCCAAGTAATCAGAGTGTTCAATTCGAGAAATCGTCTCTTGATTACGGGCACTCCCCTGCAGAACAACTTGCACGAACTCTGGGCTCTGCTCAACTTCCTGCTACCAGATGTCTTCGGAGATTCCGAGGCGTTTGACCAATGGTTCTCTGGCCAAGATAGGGATCAAGACACGGTTGTACAGCAGTTGCACCGTGTACTACGGCCCTTCTTGCTGCGCCGTGTCAAGAGTGATGTCGAGAAGAGCCTTCTGCCCAAGAAGGAAGTCAATGTCTACATTGGCATGTCGGAAATGCAGGTAAAATGGTACCAGAAGATTCTTGAAAAGGATATCGATGCCGTCAATGGAGCTGGTGGAAAGCGCGAGTCCAAGACAAGGCTCTTGAACATTGTTATGCAGCTTCGTAAGTGCTGCAACCACCCTTACCTCTTCGAGGGAGCCGAGCCTGGTCCTCCCTATACCACAGATGAGCATCTCGTTTACAACGCGGGAAAGATGCTCGTACTTGATAAGCTGCTTAAACGCCTGCAGAAGCAGGGCAGTCGCGTCCTCATTTTCTCTCAGATGAGCCGTCTGTTGGACATTCTCGAGGATTACTGTGTTTTCCGCCAATACAAGTACTGCCGTATTGATGGCGGCACTGCTCACGAAGATCGTATTGCGGCTATTGATGAGTACAACAAACCCGGCTCGGACAAGTTTGTCTTCTTGTTGACAACACGAGCCGGTGGTCTCGGCATTAACCTTACCACTGCCGACATTGTCATCCTCTACGACAGCGATTGGAACCCGCAGGCTGATTTGCAGGCCATGGACCGCGCTCATCGTATTGGACAGACAAAGCAAGTGGTGGTTTATCGTTTCGTCACGGATAACGCCATCGAAGAAAAAGTCTTGGAACGTGCAGCCCAAAAACTGCGCCTCGATCAGCTGGTCATCCAGCAGGGTCGTGCTCAGATTGCCGCAAAGGCTGCTGCTAACAAGGATGAGCTGCTGTCCATGATCCAGCATGGTGCCGAGAAGGTCTTCCAGGGTAAGGGCGGTTTCGGGGCCTTGCCCGAAAATGGCGCTGAGTTGGCTGATGACGATATCGATGCTATTCTCGCAGCGGGTGAGAACCGAACCAAGGAGTTGAATGCCAAGTACGAAAAGCTTGGTCTCGATGACTTGCAAAAGTTCACCTCAGAATCAGCGTACGAGTGGAACGGAGAAGATTTCGCGGCTCGCAAGAAGGACATTGGCATCAACTGGATCAACCCGGCGAAGCGTGAACGCAAGGAGCAGATCTACTCTATTGATAAGTACTATAAGCAGGCCCTGCAGACCGGCGGAAGGACAGCCGACACAAAGCCCAAGGCGCCGCGCGCTCCCAAGCAGGTACCTGTGCACGACTATCAGTTCTATCCCCTCCGACTCCGCGAATTGCAAGACAGGGAGACGGCATACTACCGGAAGGAAATCGGCTATAAAGTTCCCCTTCCTGACGGTGATGACGAGACCCTGGAAGAGCGCGAGGCCGAAAGAGCTCTGGATCAACAAGAGATCGATAACGCCACACCCTTGACAGAAGAGGAGCAAGCTGAGAAGCAAAAGCTTGCAGAGCAAGGCTTTGGCGACTGGAACAGGCGAGATTTCCAGCAGTTCATCAACGGCTCTGGCCGCTACGGCCGCAACGACTATGAAGGGATTGCGCAGGAAGTCGACAGCAAGACTCCTGCAGAGATCAAGGCTTATGCCAAGGTATTTTGGCAACGGTATACCGAGATCGCGGACTACAACAAATACCTCAAGGTCATAGAGGATGGTGAGGAACGTATGCGCAAGATTGAACATCAGCGCAAGATGTTGCGCAAGAAGATGAGCCAGTACCGCGTGCCATTGCAGCAACTGAAGATCAACTACACTGTCTCGACGACCAACAAGAAGGTCTACACAGAGGAGGAGGACAGATTCCTCCTGGTGATGCTGGACAAGTATGGCGTCGATTCGGAGGGCATCTACGAGAAGATCCGGGATGAGATCCGCGAGAGCCCTCTTTTCCGCTTCGACTGGTTCTTCCTCAGCCGTACTCCCATTGAGATCAGCCGTCGCTGCAACACTCTGCTGACGACGATCGTCAAGGAGTTTGAGGACGAGCCTAGCACTACCACCAAGGCCAAGGCGAACGGGGTCAATGGCAAGCTCAAGCGTGAAGCGGATGATGGAGACAACGACGAGGATAGCGTTTTGGGCCTGGCCCCTGCCAAGAAGAAGACCAAGGCCAATGGTGTCAAGGTAAGCATTTCACTGCTTTTTCCCACCTCCTCGATGCTCCTACTAATTACCCGCCCAACAGAACAAAGCGCTAGACAATGTTAAGTCGGCGTCCGGTAGCAAAGCCACCTCGGCTGCCCCTTCGCGCGCGTCAAGCGTGGCGTCAACGGATTCGAAGGCGACAAAGGGCAAGGCTGCCCCCAAGGGAAAGAAGAAGTAGACCGCTTGACGGCGGTTCAGGCGTGAGAGATAAGCTACGGTAAATGTATTGAGTCGCCTTGCTATTCAAGGCTGGCGTTGCATTTCATATGACTACTGGATGAAGGGGCGTGGTTCTCTGAGAGACCAGTCTAGAGAGTGTTAATGCAGTTGGTTCGCGGCGTTTTCGATGTCCTATTTATGTTGCGGCCAGTGATGGATATTTTACGTCCCGTAGTTTAGCGAGGATTATCTCTGCCTACATGAGGAATAAAAAGCATATTTCGGTCAAAAGCAGTTCTCTTAAGAGACGCATGGGGCGTGATGTGTGCAATCTTGTACTTTCTTTACCCCTGTCTTGTTGTTTCCACTTGTTTGGGAGAATTAAAAGAACTGGGACCGAAACTAGATCTCTACTTATTACGTCAAATCTGATATCACATGAACGACTCCGCGCGAGATAAGAAGCAGAAGAACGACCATATCCCAACACGTATAGCAAATGACTCTTCCGTGCATCAACAAGGTAGGAAAATTCGCGTTCTAAGGGGTTAAAGGGTTTCCTTCCGCTAAAAGGTGCAAGTTCCCCGTATCCACGCGATTCATTCGTTCGTTCGTCTGCTTCACGTCGAACCACACCGCCTGAGCGCTCCAATTTTGCTCTTTTTCACTTTTTTTCACCACTTTCTGGGTGGAACCGCCCAAGTTCTCAGATTAGTTTGCCTGAAAAAAACGCCGTTTGTGAAATGCCCATTTCCCCCAAATTGTTGGATCCCTGGACGCGCGATGTAAAAGAACCCGTTTGCTCATTTCTTTCCTCCGACAAGAGATGAAAATCCTGAACTCAACAACACAACACACATATTCCGTTCCGAGATCCGCCCCTTCTTTCTGCCGCCCTTTCTCGAATCCTTGCTTGCTGAAAAACCCGGAAGTCGATCGTTCGATGGAGTCGATGGATCCGCTTAAGCAGAAATGGTCTGCTGCTGTTGTTGCTGGTTGAGCTTGTTTTGCCTCTCCCTCTCGACCTCGTACATAAAGTCGTAGTAACCCTTGTCGAAGTGGTGAATACGGACGTAACCGTCCTCACCACCGCTGGCGTAGCTCTTGCCGGTCGGGTCGGCGGCGACCGTGTTGAGGGGACCGAAGTGACCGCGCACGCGACCAATCTCGCTCTCGAAGATCTTGTGGTAGAAACGCGCCTCGAATTTACCCTGGCGCGCAGAGGTGGTGGTGACATCCATGGCGGCTTGACCACCACCGAGGATGACAAAGTCCTTCTTGCGAGTGATGGTAGCGCTGTTAAGAGGAGTGTCGGCGGGGTAGGTCTTGAGGACCTCGAGGTCCTTGGCTGTGATGAGCTGTGGAAATAAGGAGGTTAGCATGCGGTTATCCCCTGCATATAGCATTGTTGCCGGTTTAAAGGACCCTTCCAGAAGAAAAAGGGGTAGTTGTGAGCCATATGACATACCTTGGAGGTCTTGTCCTTGGAGGCGGTGATGAAGTATGTGCGGTCGTGCGACCACTGGAGATCGGTGATGGGCTGGTTGAGCTCGTGGATGGGGATGTTGTAGAGGAGGTCGCCGTTCTTGCCGTCGAACTGGGAGACGGAACCGTCCTCGTGGCCGGCAATGATGTACTTGCTGAGGTAACTCCAGCCGGCGACGGTGGCCTTGCTATCCTCGCAAACGATAGTCATGGCCTTCTCATCGCTCTGCTCGGCGTCAACGTCGAGCTTGATGTCGAGGACGACGATGGTACCCAGGTGACCCATGCGCTTCTCCGTCACACCCAAAAGCTTGCTGCCATCCTCGCTGAACTCAACGCGCTTGACGGCGGTAGGGAAGTCCCATGTCTTGAGAAGTCTGCCGGTCTTGATCTCCCAGAGGCGGATGGTGTTGTCGGCAGAACCGGAGGCGAGGATGGTGGATGTGGGGTCGACGTCGATGGTCCAGATGGCACCCTGGTGGCCGTGGTATGTACCGAGACGCTCGCCGTTGTGCGCGAACCAAACGCAAATCTGCTGGTCCTTGGAAACTGAGAAGAGCAAATCGCCGTCGCGGTTGTACCTGTAGGGCGGAAAGGGTTAATGTTAGAGGCTGCGTGTCTTTATGCCCGGCATGCCAAAGCCAAAACACCAAGAGGGGTTGGGTCGGGGCGGGAATGGTATGCGATGATGATGCGGAGGGAAGACGAACTTGATCTGGGTGAGGGCACGCTCGTGGCCCGAAAGAAGAATGGGCCTCATCTTGACTGAGGGGTATTAAATGTGACGAGGCGTTGGACGGCGGTATGGAAGTATAGTTGTCGTCGGAAGGGACCGAGTGGATTCGTCGTCGAGAAATATCGCGGGGGGGTTGGATGGGGGACGGGTTGGACGACTTGGGAGGCGGGTGGATTAGTGTCTTTGTGTCGTCGTCGTCGGATCGGTCTTGGTGGTTTCTTTCTTCCCTTTGGGTGGATTTCCACTCCCAGTAATTTTTCCGCAGATTGTGCGCGATAGGCTGGCTGGCTCTGGCGGACTCTGACGGCCGCGGGGCGAACCAACACCTATCCCTGCAAATGCCAAGCTGCCCCTCTCCAGTCCCTCATCCCAGCCTTGTGCTGGTTTCGGACTCTGGACCTTTGCAGGCTTGCCACCTCGCTCTGCGCTTGGCAGCCTGCCGGCCCGTCAACGACCACTGATAAGAAGGTGTGGCTCAGCCTGTGACTCGGAGTTTAAGAGTCAGTTCTATCAGCCTGTGCCACACGCCACCAGCTTGACAATGGACACACGGGCAGGACAGTGCGAGCACATTCGAGCTGTTACATAAGTGCAGCAGGCCGAGAGCTCAAAGAGCATGGATGCAACATCGATCTGGACATCTGGGATTTTCTATCCCGCAACGGCAGTTATATGGATGCACTTGTACGAATCGCATCGAGGAGGAACGGTTCACCAACTCTCTGAGAGTGGTTGAGGAAAATGGAGGCTTTTCTGCCGAAACACTTTGGGATCGTTCCAAGAATGTAGTGTGAACACGTACTTGTCTGCATTTTTAAGTTTCAACCCGGGACACACATACACTCACCATCGGTGACTCCTCGAGAACGGCAAAGAAAAAATCACAAATCACGAACCCTCCATTCCGGCCAGCAAGCCGGCGATCATTGGATACTCGACATCGATCCCCCGTCGTCTAGGAACCCATTGTCATTTGTGACTCCTCTGTGCGGCGCAGAGAATCCCTGGATCCCGAATCCGTCTGGCCCCACCCCGTCGTGGAGGTGCCCGTCGAGACTTCCCGGAGCTTGCGTCCGCTGCTGTTCAGTTGTGGTGTTGTACAGCACGCACGGGTGTGTCCTTACACGACAGAAAAGACCACCAAGGACCCCTTCTCGAGTAGGTACCTCGTCAGCCATGGCCATCTCCAGCTTCATCCAGAAGGCGTCTTCCACGTCAAGGAAGTCGCGTCGAGCCCGAAGCTGTCTCGAGGGTTCAAAACAAGGCCTTTCATCCCTGTCCGCACCCGGGTTGCTGAGCACACGGCGGGTTCAAGTCGCGCAGACGGGACAAGACGTGCTCGAAAGATGGACATTGCCGTGGGGTACGGAATCCGACTCTCGGAGCTCTATCTCGGCTTTTGAGGCTTGTAACTTCTCCGCCGCCCCGCGATCCACCTGCAGCCGCCCCAGGAACTCCCGGAATTGGCGCCTATCTCCAGTGATATTTCCAGTGACGCGGCTTACGGGGCCTACCCCCAGGGCAGCTGCTAGCTATTTTGGAGCTAATGCGCTGTTCTCCCCCTCATCTTCAACTCTGCCCGACACTTTACCCTTTCCACCATCTTCCTCATCTTGCTTCTCTCGCATTCAGGGTCCTGTCTCTCGAAACGCTGCTGCTCTTGGCCATCCGGGCAGCTCCATCAGGACATATTCCAGTTTAGCTTCTCCCAGAGTCGCAACAAGGGAAGCCGCAATGGCCTCCAAGATCGACGGCACCGCGCTGGCCAAGCGCATCCGCGAGGGTCTTCGCCAGACTATTGAGGAGACCAAGAAGACCAACCCGCGCTTCCGTCCCTGCCTCAAGATCATTCAAGGTGCGTGCTGTGTGCTGTATGCCGTATGCTTTTGCAGATGGAACCCAGTGGCTAACCAGTTGAATATGCAGTTGGTGATCGATCCGATTCCAGTAAGTTGGGACTGACTGCTGCACCACCCACCCCACCTCTTTACCCCGCCATCACGGAAATATTTCTGTGCCTCGCATTGTCCCTTGGGCCGTTGCTGACCGTCTGTCTGCCGCGCAGCTACCTATGTGCGCATGAAGTTGAAGGCTGCTGAGGAGGTACGTACAAGCTCTGGGAATTCCTGTCCTACATCAGACGAATGGCAAGGCAGGCTGACATGTGAATCCAACTACAGTGCGGTATCGAGGCCGAGTTGATCAAGTTCGACGAGAATGCCACCGAGGCCGAGCTTGTTGCCAAGGTAGCCCAGCTCAACAACGACTCGACTGTCCACGGCATGCTCGTTCAGCTGCCCCTCCCCAAGCACATCTCCGAGTATGCTGTCACTTCGGCCGTTGCCAACGAGAAGGATGTCGACGGTTTCGGCACCCTCAACATCGGCGAGCTTGCCAAGCGCGGCGGCCACCCCCATTTCATCCCCTGCACCCCCAAGGGTGTCATGGCCCTTCTCGCCGAGGCTGGTGTTGAGCTTAAGGGAAAGAACGCTGTTGTCCTCGGCCGTAGTGATATCGTGGGCAGCCCCGTCAGCTACCTCCTCAAGAACGCCGACGCTACCGTCACCGTTTGCCACTCCAGGACCGCCGATCTCCAGCTGTACCTCAAGGAGGCCGACGTTGTTGTTGTCGCCATTGGCCAGCCTAACTTTGTCAAGGGCGAGTGGCTCAAGAAGGGTGCCGTTGTCATTGATGTCGGTACCAACTACGTTCCCGACGATACCAAGAAGTCTGGCGTCCGCCTGGTCGGTGACGTCGAGTTCGAGTCGGCCTCCCAGGTCGCTTCCGCCATTACTCCTGTTCCCGGCGGTGTTGGTCCCATGACCGTTGCTATGCTTTTGCAGAATGTCGTTGACGCCACTACTTTCTACTTCGAGAACCAGAAGAAGAGAGGATCCATTCCCCTCCACCTGAAGCTGGAGGAGCCCGTTCCTTCCGACATCGATATCTCCAGGGCCCAGGCTCCCAAGCCCATCACCCATATTGCCACCGAGATTGGTCTTGCTCCCTCCGAGCTCGAGCCCTATGGTGCTTACAAGGCCAAGGTTGACCTCAGCATCCTCAAGCGTCTTGAGCACCGCCGTAATGGTCGCTATGTCGTTGTTACTGGTATTACACCCACTCCTCTCGGTGAGGGCAAGTCCACCACCACTATGGGCCTGGCTCAGGCTCTTGGTGCTCACGTTGGTCGTTTGACTTTCGCCAACGTCCGCCAGCCCAGCCAGGGTCCCACGTTCGGTATCAAGGGTGGTGCTGCTGGTGGTGGTTACAGCCAGGTCATCCCCATGGATGAGTTCAACCTTCACTTGACCGGTGATATCCATGCCATCACCGCCGCCAACAACCTTCTCGCTGCCGCTATCGATACCCGCATGTTCCATGAGAACACCCAGAAGGACGGTCCTCTTTACAGACGTCTAGTCCCTGCCAAGAACGGAAAGAGGGAGTTCCCTCCCATCATGTTCCGCCGCTTGAAGAAGCTTGGCATTGAGAAGACGAACCCCGATGATCTCACCGAGGAGGAGATTAGCCGCTTTGCTCGTCTCGATATTGACCCCGAGACCATTACCTGGAGACGTGTTCTGGACGTGAACGACCGTCATCTGCGTGGCGTTGTTATCGGCACTGCTCCTACCGAGAAGGGCCACAAGCGTGAAACTGGCTTCGACATTTCTGTTGCCAGTGAATGCATGGCTATTCTGGCCCTCAGCACTAGCCTTGCTGACATGCGTGAGCGTCTCGGCAGAATGGTTGTTGCCAGCTCCAAGAGCGGCGATCCCGTCACTGCTGATGATCTTGGTGTTGGCGGTGCCCTGACTGTCTTGATGAGGGATGCCATCAAGCCCAACCTCATGCAGACCTTGGAGGGTACTCCGGTCTTCGTTCACGCCGGTCCTTTCGCCAACATCAGCATTGGTAACAGCTCGATCCTGGCCGACAAGATGGCTCTCAAGCTTGCCGGTACGGAGCCCGATGAGGATTACGCTACCAAGTCTGGCTTTGTCGTTACTGAAGCCGGTTTCGACTTCACCATGGGTGGCGAGCGTTTCTTCAACATCAAGTGCCGTACCTCCGGCCTCATGCCTGACGTTGTTGTTGTTGTCGCTACTGTCCGTGCCCTCAAGGTTCACGGTGGTGGTCCCCCGATCTCGCCCGGTGCGCCGCTCAACCCTGTGTACAAGGAGGAGAACGTTGAGATCCTGCGCGCTGGCTGCGTCAACCTCGCCAAGCACATCCAGAATGCCCGCTCGTATGGTGTCCCTGTCGTCGTTGCCATCAACAAGTTCTCGACCGATACCCAGGCCGAGATTGATGTTGTTCGCGAGGAGGCCATCAAGGCCGGTGCCGAGGACGCCGTGCTCGCCAACCATTGGGCCGAGGGTGGTAAGGGTGCTGTTGACCTCGCTCAGGCCGTCATTGCTGCTAGCGAGAAGTCTAACCCTGAGACTCAGAAGCTTCTCTATGAGGTTGAGGGCAACACCGTCCAGGAGCGTATCGAGAAGATCGCCCGTGAAATGTACGGTGCCGCCAACGTCGAGTTCAGCGAGCTCGCCCAGAAGAAGGTCGACACCTATACTCGCCAGGGCTTCGGCAACCTGCCCATCTGCATTGCCAAGACCCAGTACTCGCTCAGCCACGACCCCGAACTTAAGGGTGCCCCCACCGGCTTCACCGTCCCCATCAGAGATGTCCGTATGGCCGCTGGCGCCGGATATCTCTACGCTCTGGCTGCCGATATCCAGACTATCCCTGGTCTGCCTACGGCTCCTGGTTACTTCAATGTCGACGTTGATACCGAGACTGGTGAGATCCACGGCCTGTTCTAGATGCGTTAAGTTTAGTTGAAAGCCATTTGTTTTGCCTTGCAAATCTTTCTTGTTCGGTTTCGCTCTAGATATTGTTCCTTTGCCTTGGCATATAAGTTTGGTGTTGCGGTTTGGGTATTTAATGCATTCATGATCAACTCAAGGGTGCGCGGTAGAGGCGGTTTTGGTGTATGTGTACGCCGGTAGTCTCTGTTCTTGTCTTTTAACAACACACACGGAATGGCGGCGCTACGGTTTACGGATTCAAAAAGAAAAAGGGGCGAGCCAATGTTTGGGGGCGTCGTCATGCGCATATGATATCATGTTTCGTTTTCTATAGATTTTATACATGAAATAAGAGGGCAAGTTGAAGTCATAGCTTTGAACCATTCTCTGATGAATGATATTTGGCCGTCAACTCTTCACGACCTCCCTGTTGAGCAGTGTATCCTGGACATCTGTCTCCCCTTGAATTTTTCTGTCCGTACTTCATTCTCGTCTAGTTGGTCGTGTGTATCCGCATTGCTGTTGGTCATTTCTCCAAATTGTTCTCGATGAGTTCTTGTAACCCCTCTAGGGTTAGTTTGTCTTCTCTTCTATTCGACGCCTGTGAAGTCTGTCCCATGTGTTGTTAGTGCGCTCGACGGGAAAAGGGGAAACCAACTGATAATGGAATAGGTAAGGACAGGTACAAGGAAAACAATGTCTAGGTGGAGGCAATGAGAGAGAATATCCATATCCTGAGGATACCATGGAAGTTTTGTTTGAGCGGATGAGTAAATATATAACAGAGAGGAATCGGAGATATAGTAGCAAACGGAGAACATTATCTTTAAGATCATGAGAGAATAACAACACAGTAATAATGATATATGAAACATTTGACATAATTTCCAGAGACATTAGTTGTTTGTCTGGGAGCTCCCATCTTCGATCATCCATCCATGGAGAAAACAAGGTCTGAAAATGTGCTGAGGTCGTTTAGGTTGTTTGTTTTTGCTGGGTTGAAAAAAGAGTATGCGATAAACGACGTGATGTGATCTCAAAATTGTTGCTGAGCGCGAGCCATTGAAATGGCTGGCGAATGAAGAAAATGAACGAAGCAAGTGAGCGGCTGAGAGAAGCAAACGAATGAAAGAAGCCATAAAGAGGTCGTAACGAAAGGAATTGAAGGTCGTAGAAAAGGAATGGAAGGGCGTGACGTCGTAGAAGGAGTGTGTAGGTAGGTCATCCAGAAAAGCATAAAATGGTCGCGTGTCGTGCCCCGTGAAAGTCGTATAAAGTCGTATAGTATGCCGCCCTGCCAAACAGCTTTGCCGTCCAATCCAAAGGAACGTTTTCCCCCCCCCTCCCGTGCATCCTTGCTTTCCCCATCCAGAAGTGAGTGATTGCCAAACCCCCCCCCCCCCCCCCCCCCCCAAAAGAAATAACCAAGACCAAACTCAGCACCCATCACCATTCCCCGAAACATGGCCCATTATTAACTCCGGCTCGCCCCATTACACCAACACTCCCCTATTGTTCCCAAACATGATTTTATCGTAATCTTTCGTATATGTGCGTGTATTCAGACAGCCTCCTTTTTTCATAATAGCCATTAACATTAAAACCAAGGTTTATCATTTCTTTCGCCATCCTCCTCTAGCCTCCTGAGTACCCCGACAGCCTCCACATAAAGCCTGTTCCTGCCCCCAATGCAGTCACTCTCCAGTCGACGGCGCACCAGTGAGACAACACTCATCGACTCACGACGGCCCCTCGCCCGGATGATATCTTCCTCGGTGACGTTGTCCGCAGCCAGCATGCGCAGCCAAGTCATAGCATGCTGATCGGCTGCCGCCGAGCTTCCGTGCCTTGAGGTAGGACTAGCCCTGTTATTGCCCGTTCGCTGACGCTTAGCCGAATGGTGCTGCTGCTGCTGGTGCTGAACGTCTGTGGCAACGATGATCGTAGAGCCAATCGCAGGGACCGACCGGGCTTTGTGGCCGAAAGCCCAGAATATCAAGGCGCAAACGTACAGAGCCCAGTAGTCGGAGATATCCTTTCCCCAGAGTGATGATCGGTCTTCTGTTGCCGCACCTTCGACTGGCGCATACCGGGAGACACCAGGAGAAACGGGACTTAGGAACTGCACAATCGAGCGGGCGGCATACATGGTTGCCTTGACCACACTAAGGTCGACCATATCGGTAGGTACGTTGGTATTACCGTAGCCTTGACGATAGTGATGGTTCTCTGCCCAGGCTTTCAGGCGCCTTAGGTGAATGGAAAATGCTGCGGCTGGCAAGACTTTCTTGGTGAACAACCACGACTCGCCGCTGACAGCAAGAAGATCGCGAAGCGGGGTATGATGCAGTGCGAGGTAGGTATTGGCGATAGGACAACCGGGGAAAAGGCTGCTAAGACGTGTCTCTACGTCAAGCGAACCGCGAGTTCTTGAATGTGGGGGATGCAAGAAGTCGGGCTGGAAGCAAGGTGATTCCTGCTGAACAGGACTGAACTGGCTATTCATATAATGCAACTGGGGATCGACTTCGCTCATTGAGGACTTTCGAGCCGAGGCAGATGGTGCGGTCAAGCCCTGCCTGCATGGGATTCGCAGATATTCAGCCACAAGAATGATCATCCGATCGATGCTCATCTGTCTTGAAACGAAGTCGGGTGTAATGGTCTCTGGCGAGGGTACAAAAACTGGGACGCCAGCCGAAGGGTCTTCCGCAAGGATCTTCGCCCATGAAGCTGCTGAAGAAGCCTCCCAAAGCCTCAAGCTGGAGCCCATAAGAGGAATGGGTGGGCGTGTCAGTTCCGAGTCCACTGAAGACTGGCCTGCTTGCGGCTGCTGCTGATAGATAGCGGCGTGTCCATCGAGGAAAAAGCATGCTGCCAAGAGACGGCGACGTGCCTCTGCATCGACCCAGTTGTTCCAGGAGGCGTAAATCGATAATTGTTGATCCGAAGGAGAGGCAGTATAATCGAGCATAGTTGGGTTATGGTACAAGACCTGTGGGTTGAAAGCACCCTGTAAGTACGTCTGTTCGCTGACCTCAAGCTGAGGCTGAGAAGGAAGAAAAAAAGTCGGGGAGTGATGAGTTGACGTGAAATGAGACGACCAAAATCTTCTCTTCCGAGACGGCTGGGCAGGCGTAAGAGGAGAAGAGAGATTATTAAGATTATCATTATAAGAAGAAGTGAAAGACGGAGAAACAATGCCAAGAGGAGAGGAGGTTGAAGATGAATAAGACGATGGGAAATTGCCGATGTGGGGAGGGTTAAGAGAACTGAGGTGCCGCAGTGCAATAGAGGACATCATGTTTGAGGTGGCTGCCGTGGAAATAGAAGAGCAGTCCGAAGTGGCAGAAAATGAACCAGGGGACCAGGCGCTGGGATCAACGGCCCATGACCCTTGAATGCTTTCGGGAGTTGAGAACGACGACACAGTAAGGAACTGTGAAGCACTCACCCTCTTGTAGAGTTCTTCAAACAACCTCGAGGGTCGTATAACGGCACTCTGTCCGCGGAATCGGGCGAAGTATTCGCAGAGAAAAACTGCCTGCATGATTTGGATATTCCACTGAAGTATCTATATTGACTCTAGCGTCAGTGAACAAACTCTAAGCGGCCAAGACTATGCTTGAAACTAGAAGGGATCCAAGGTGGCCGACTCACTTTCTTTACCTCCCTCCAAGCAAAATCATGCAACTGGCTGCCCTTGACACGATCTTCTTCGTCATCGAGAAGCTGAGTCGCCACCGCAGCCATAGCATACCGCAGCACCTCTTCAGGCGCGTTTTCGAAGGAAGCTCGATGAACTATTGGGAGCACGGGGTGAACTCTCTCCCAGTACACCGCAAGATACTGCGGAATAGCGTCGTGGAGTGGATTCATCAGTGACATAGGAAGAGTGGCCCCGGGGAACCCACACCCATTACTTATCGGCAAACCCAATGTAATCAAGTTGCCGTTCTCATAACCAACACCGTCGTTGCTGTAGCTGGGATCGGCACTACCCTCAAGCCCAGCTCTCATAGCGTCAAACATGCCGATGTCCTCCAAAGGGAATGGGGCACCCGGCATACCATACGAGGAGTCCAACAACGCATCTTTCTGGGTCCGGGTGTCTAATCGAGGTCGAAGAGCGGTGGCAGGTAATACTAAAGTTTGTGTGTGAGAAGGCGTGTTCAAAGGCGGGGTTGAACTACGAACAGATGAAAACGAACCACCACGCTGGTGCTGGTGGTAAGAGCCTCGCGGGGAGCTCGCTCCAAGACCTGCTCTAGGAGGCACGATGAGATGATCGTAGGGCCGCGGCTGTGAGCCGGAATTGTAAGACGGCGAGGTTGCCAAACGGCGCGTGAAAATGTTTCCCGGTTGGATTTGATCCACAGCGTTGGAACTCGGCGGGTATGGTTGCGGAAGGTTCGGAAAAGGAGTCACCACTGGACCTGTCCATATCTCCGTACCAGATACTGGAGTTGTTGAATAGCTTGAGGTGGTCGTTGTCGAAGGAGAATGACGCCATGAGTCTGAGGTAGGTACGTCCGTAATGGGTATTTCCACTCTTGGCTGTAGCGGCAGTGTCCTAGGTGGTTGAGGCGGCCAATCGATGTCCGGGGACGATACAGCCGGGTTGTATTGAAGCCCAGGGGGGTAGTGATACGGATCTTGGGCTCCGGCATAACCTGGCTCTGGCTGCATTCCTGGTACTCTATCATTGGGTAGTACCTTTCCGCGAGGAGCGGAAGAGACTGGTGATAGCCCGCCAGATGGTCTTTGGCCCGACCGTGATGGTACAAATCCGATCGGTGGAGAGGGTGGACCAGGATTGTCACGCTTGCCGTCTCCTGGTACAGTTTGAGGCACTTTATCGCCTTCTTGCTCACTACGAGCAACATTAGTACAAATTATGGCTGCATACCAGTTCCCAGGTCAGTACTTACTGTCTCTGCTGATGTCGAGCCAGCAAGTCCGGCCGGTGAAACGCCTTATCACAGTTGGGATATGGGCATCGATACTCTGGGGGCCCATGACCAAGTTGATGACGCCTCAGATGCTCTGCCCTCGTAAATGTCTGTTCGATAGTGTTAGCAGAAATAGCAATATTTGATGGGCATATGAAGTTTTCCTGCCTTTGGTGGCCTACAGATGTCGCAAACATGAACCGGTATGCCTTTCTTTGCTCTGCTCACCCGGCCGGTGATGGGCGTGAGCCTCATGGGAAGCTCGGGAGTATGGGGTTGTGAAGGCATTGGCCTCAATGGCGTGTTCGACTGGTGGTAGTTGCTGCCCATTGATGATGTTGAGGCAGATCCATACCCCGTATGATCCGCCGAGTCATTGCTCGCTGTGCTACGACGACGCATCGTGGACCTGGTATGAACAGCTAGTGGAATCGAAGATGCAGCAGGGTTGACGTCTTTGAATCCCCAGCTAGTGCCTTGGTTCTTGGTCTGAGAAGAGGCAACAGCTAGGCTGATATCTCTCGGTTGGATGGATGGTCCCGAGCTACTGTCATATCTCGGGAGCGTGATAGGTGGTAACGTTGTCAGTGGTAGTGGTGGTAGTTGAGTATGGGGAGGTGGTCCATGGGGATGGCCCGTGTTGACTGGATGGTCCGAGACGACGTCCTTTTTATTGATGTGATGAGACTCAGTATGGTCCTCGTTGACATCCAGTATGAGCTTGAGGCTAGCCATTGTGGGCGGCAATCTCAAATTTGGAAGTCAGATACCAAGTTAGTAATACACAGCCCGGTTTGAATGTCCGGGTTGAATATCCGCAAGAGCAGAGGTAGCAGTCAAAGAGGGAACAGAGGAAACGTCAAGTCAGATCTGGTAGGGCAGTACGTAGTACATACAAGCGCGGCTGCAGCACGCGCGAAGAGGAGACTTGATGGGTAGTATGTACGTGGGTAAAGAGTGCAAAGACAGGAACCAAGCCCTCAGCCTTCCTCCGAGTAGAGAAGGGTCGCGTCGTTAGGCGATCCGAGTGGAGACATGTCGAGAGGTTGCGTACTAGGTACGGGCTCGCGGCACGCTGGAGGCACTGCTATATCAAAATGGTCTTTGCACCGTACGGTGTAGACTTAGTTGGACTTGTCGTTGCGTACTGCGGCAGAGTAGCAACAGAGAGTTGCGTGAGTAAGAGACATACGTGAAGGCTAGAGTGTGTGGTAGTAACGAAAATGATGGGATACAAGGGAAAAATCCATTGGTACCGTCTTGGCCTACTCGTCGGTTAGGTATGGAGTCCACCCTCTGGGGGTCTCGCTTACAGCTAGCCAACCGACTCTCATCGTCCCTTTGAAAGTCGGATTTTTTACATGTAACGTGCAAGGTCTATAACGGCTAGAATCTTTAATAATCCGTTTCTCTACTAAAATATAAATAAATAAAAATGGTAAAGGATTTAGATTATTCGTCTTAATTACGTGCATTTAGTAATATAAGTAAATTATTTTTAAAATATTGTAATATATTATTATAGTATCGTAAAGGCTTTGTAGCCTGTACGCTAAACTTTTATAATATGATATTTAATTCCTCTTCTTCCTCCTCTTCCCCTTATAAATTCCCATCATCGCTAAAATTATCGTTTATAATAATTATTACCCTTATATAGCGTACAGGCACTTTTAATTTTTTATTAATTATTATTATAATTGCTATAGCCTCCTCGTTAAAATCTATATCGATAACCTTCTCCTTCCCCTTCCTAAATTTCTTCTTAGAAAGGTATAGCGTTATAGGGAATTTTAACTTTGGCCTAACTAAATAGATATACCGTAGTATAGTAGGAAGCTTATTAAGTATATTTTTATACCCCTATTATTTAGAATAAATTTAACCGATAAAGTACTCTCTCTACGAATCTTTCTAGCCCGCTTCTTACTATATATTTTAAGAAGTATAAAATTTTTATTATAGTTAAGAAGGGTAGCTTTCCTTATAGCCTTATAGAATTTATCCTCCTTATTTTTAAAATCAACTAAAAAAGCACTAAAGTCCCATTCTGTTAGCTAGGTAACCTTCTATACCTTTATTTCTAATATATAATATAAATAAATAGGATTTTAAATACGAATTATAAACCTATGGTAATTGTTATTAATAATAGTTTCGTTCCAACCTTCCTTTTATTTAAGTATTGAATTGTATTCTAGGTAGTCTATAATAATATTAACGAAGCTATTAACGTTAAGAACGCTATCTTTATTAAATTTAAATACAACCTTCTTCTTAGCCTTTAATTTTCGTAGTAGTTACTATTTAAAATTAAGATTTTCTTCGAGAGCGACCTTTTTAATAAAGGTAAGACTGGCTCACTATATCTCCTTTAATTCTTCCTCTATATTAATTACCCTTTTTATTATAACTTTAGTATAAAATACTTCTTTTGTATAGGCGTTATCGCTAATAGAAATATATTTATAAAGGTTTTACTTCTTAACTTCTACTTTAATATAATATTTTTAATTCTCCTACTAATTAAATACTAACTTTTATATATTAATAGAGACCTTTAAGGTAACTTTTATATCGTTAGCCTACGTTTTAAGTAGTAAATTAACTTCCTTAATCCGTCTTCGTATAGTTAGTAAATTAAAGGTACGAAGGATTTTACGTTGTATAATAATTTTAAAAAGTTTAAGGAATAAAGGTTCTTACTATACTTTTATAACCTTACGAAATTTATCAAGAAGGACGTCGGGTTTAAAAAACTAAAGACTAATTTTTTCCTATTCTTTATAAATATTATTTTGAATAAAACCTACTTCCTTAACCTTCTTTTAATTATTTAAAAAGATTATACAGTTAATATTAATAGTCCCGCTAGTAATCTCCTTTATTAGAGCCTTTTAATAAGCTTCTTTAACTATTTAATAAACCCTTATATTAAATAATTGAAGTATATAGTTAATATATAAGGGTAGAGTATAAAGTATAATATCGAAGGCCTTATAATATTATAAAATATATAGGTCTTTATAAGCTTTAAATCCGTCTATAAATAATACCCTATATACTTTTAGCTTTATTAAGAAGTTTACCGCTATACTATCACTACCTTTAGAAGGCTCTAATTTTTTAAAAGGAGGTAGGCAATTAGGTAATAGACTAAACTAGTCCTCTATAGTCCTATTAAATAAGGGAAATAGTTTAAAAAAGTGTTTATTGAAGTGCTTAATCTATTATAATACTTAGTATATATTATTATATCTAATTAATATATTTATAATATTTATATTTAGATTTACTTTGTAATTAGTCTATATATTATTTTGTAATTATAATTAAGTTAATTTAAAGGAGATTAAGCTCAATTGTAAACGACGAGGTTAGAGCCTTACTATAATCTATATTTTAAATATTAAGAAGGAAGGGATATTCTTAGCTGCTGATATAGTATCGATAGGAATTAAACTTTCTTTATTACTAGGATTAAACATAATACGTTTTATATGGGTTTTATTTTTTTATAAATAATATTTATTATTATAATAATTAGTATAAAATTATTTAATAAAGTAATATAAAGGGATATAACAAAGTAATATAATCTTATACTTTTATAATTTCTTTAATTTCCCTTATTTAAAAGGGAAATTTATCTATATCCTAAACGTTCTCCTCCTTAATTTAATTAAGTTTTAGCGCTTATCTTTTTTACGTTTTTAAAGCTAGTTGTTTTAAATTCGAACTCAAAGTATTTCTTTCGCCACTCGATAAGCTAATTTCTATAAAAATTCATTAAAGGGGGGTATAATTATTAAGTACGCAATTAGTTCGCTAACTTAACAAAGGAGGTATTATTTAAAGGGAAGTAGTTATAATTAATAATTTAAATTACGATATTAAGAGTTTTATCTTCGTTTATAATAAAGGTTAGCAATCGATAGGTTTTTATACTGGTCAGTAGAGCCTTACTCTCTTTAATAAATATTATATATTTTTTAATAATAGCCTTACTAACGTTAAATAACTCCCTTGTACTCTTATATGTAATCTTCCCTTTATTTCTAACTTTAATATTGGCCTTGGATTGTAAGGTAATATATCGGGTCATAATTACAATTTAATTTATAATAAAATACCGGGTAACCTTCTTTATATGGGATATAACGTCGGAGTTAAATATAAGTATAATAAAAGTATATACAAAAGATAGAGTACAACGAGATGAGTAGAATAAAGTTATTCACAGTACGATATAATAAAAATTGGTGATATTCTAGGTGAGTATAGTTTCTACACCGTTATAGACCTTGTACGTTATATATAAAAAATCCGACTCTCAAAGGGACGATGAGAATCGGTTGGCTGGCTGTAAGCGGGCCCCCAAAGGGAGGCCCCACATGGCCCCCAGAGGGTGGCCAATGCGTGCACCTAACCGACGAGTACCTCGCAGAGGCTTGGTACCCGTTTGGGCGAGGCTGTTGCTGCGGCCAGGGGTCGGTCCCTGTCAGCTGGGGATGTGGATGTGTACAAGGGGCAGGGGGGGAGGGTAGGACAGGGGATATTGGGTGGGCGGAGAAGTTTGGGGGATGGGGGAAGGGGATGGACGGAGGGTGGGATTTTTCTTAGCATGTACGTACAGAGGAAAGTAAACGCAAGCTACTTTCCAGAAGAGATCCCAAGATACCTAAAGTCTTGGGCTGCTAAACCCACTACATGATGTTTGCCGCGATGGCAAGCACACATGCGATAGACGCCATGGCGGCACCAATCAAGTGTTCTTAAGCCCACCAAGTCAAAGTGATAGTCGCGATTAGACAAGCGCGCAGCTGGTGTCTACTGCGACGCATCAGCCAAACCTGATTGTGCGCCGTCACATAGCTTGCAGGCTCGTCCCCATGACAATGGGCGTTCATAAGTGCGTACGCTGCTTGGCACGCGAAGAAAAGGGGGAAAGGAAAATACGTGCTGCGAAGTGTCAGAAAGCCACCACCTCCCTCGTAGATTGAGTGATCTTGTAAATGCAATGTCTCGTCCGGGTCTGTTGTAAAGTTTGGAGGAAGCAGGATAGGTAGATGCGATGAGTACCGCTGTGATGGCACAGTGTCGAGCTGTTAGACATTTTTACTGTGTAGTATCTTGACTTGAGTCAGTTGGTAGCTTTCTCTTCGCGTTATTCACTGGAGGGTTCCCCTGCCCGCTACTCTGACAACGAGAGGCGCAGCTCTTCTTACCTGCAAGCCCGGCCAAATCGTAGCACAAGCGTCTAAAATGGGGACAACTCCATGCATTCCCTAGCGTTGTGTGACCGTCGACTTATAGCGCTTTTCGACCCATGATCTGCACTACCCAACGGTATGATGTAGCTCTTTTGTCCAAAGAAATGCACCGAGAAGCCGTGAAGGATTGTATCCGGACATCTTTGAGGATACACCAGACGGGGGCATCTTCTAGAATTCATGGAGAAGAAATACAAGCACCCAAAGTTGCGACCCGTAAAGAATCCAGGGTCGTTCCTTTCGGGTCAGTGCTGGCAATGACGACGGTAAAAGAAAAGAGTCGAACTGGGTGTCGTGATGGAGCGAAGTCGGCGTCTCAGCATGCCCTTCCACACACCTGGCCAAACATGTTAGGCGGCGCTTGTCCCGTGTCTGTCGGCTCTTGAGTCCTCGAGGACATGGTATCGCGTTATTTGTGCAGATGTGGAGTGCAGTGCCCATAGTATGTGCAAGAGGCTCGGTCCGCTGTGGGCCAGGGGTAACTGCAAGGTTGGGATGATTTTGCTTTTCTTCAGTCCAACATCGAATATCTCAAACAGATAAGTCCCATTTCGCTGATGAAGAATGACATTGTGGGGGGATAATACGGAAAGATGGAGAGCATTGCAACGTGGGTGGATAGTGAACGCAGACAAAGGGTGAACGCCATCGTCGATCTCATTGGCGTGGCCATTCCCACCGCACACAGCCAGTCAGAAATCCTATGTTGAGGAATTCTCTATGCAAGTTTGCTTGGGTCGAAGCTCGGGAGCCAAGCTCAGTTGCTCAATCACAGAACTTCAAGGTAGATGATAGATGATGGGAGGTACCGTTGACGTGACGGGTATACGTGCTCGCCTCTTGCTGGGTTGCAGTATTCATTTGTCTTGAGATCTGATCGAGATGAATGGTATCTTGTTGCACTTGGTGATGTGAACGGCAGCAGGCATATGAAACCTTGGACTTGCCTCCCAGGCACATCATCAACCCCTTGCTGGGGGCCATGAGGCTCAACGAAGGAGGCTTCGGCTTCTGACCCGGAAGCTGCCGGGCACTTGAACGGCTGAAGCTAAGGCCTGTGGGCCGACAGTTGATGGAGAAGCGGGGGCCAAACTCGGGAAGAGTCCGAAACAAAATCGAATTGTCTGCATGGGCAAGACCTGAAACCCAGGCCGGGTAGGTGTACAGAGTGGGAGCAAGGTTAATCAGCCTTTCCACCACAGGCGATCAGGTCCACCAGCCTCGCATGCAAGGCAAACAAGCGAGCGAATATAGCCAGGATCCATCTGCTAACGATAAACGGCTGAGCTTCAGCTGTGCTGTTGGATGATAGTGAGAGGGGGCGCTCGTGTAAGATGTTGACAGCTAAGGAATGATATCTCTCTCGGTGATGCTCGTTGGCAGTTGAAGGGAGTTGTGACGAGCTGTCCAGCGCGCGTAAACCACAGTTCCTCATTCGCTGTCATGGGGCTCAAATGCTGCATGACGGGACTTGAAGAGGTGTTTGTTCCTGTGGCCGGGCATCTACGTATGCATGTGAATGGTTTGTGTACAGGCCACCTCGAGTGTTGAAAGACGAAACTCGATCCAAAGGCAGAGGTGGCGGACGTGCAGTGAGTGCTTGGCCGTCGGCTGGCGCGCCTAACATGCGCGATGAGTTTGGTGATCAAGCGCAGGTACGCCAGCTTGACGCACCGTGACCCACTAGGGACCTGGGATGTAGTGGTGATCCCGCACTATCCAGGATTTTGTGCCGGTGGAAACTGGGTCAACCATATCGCGGTGGTTTGTGGTCTCGGGCCAGGTGGCAGTGCTGATGGTGTTGAGAGACGGTGCAAGCCACAGGCCCATCAGGCGGCCAATCATGCTAGCAGGGACCGGAACTTGACGCGGGCCCGTGATGCTTGCTTGATGCTGGATATCATTCCTAAAAGTTATTGCAAGTCAATGTTTTCGCAAGGATTCGCTGTGGACACAATCATAGATCATCCATCCTGCCGTCAAACGCGGGGCATCATCCAAGCAAGACAGGCAGTGATCAAGACAGGATTGTTGATTTTCGGCATTTGTCTTTTGAAGCGAGCGAGGTGCATGGGGTGGTGGAATAGTTCGGCAGTGCTACGCTTTGTGTTGCATTGGAGACGGACAAGTCGAGGTGTTGCGGTGAGCTTAACAATTTTGAAGAACGGTTTGAAGTTAGTCAAGAGGTGGAAGATGCCCGGAAGTCGGGTGGGATTCGAGGTTGGAAAGATGGAAGCACGCGACGTCCCATCCAGTTCGCGAACGTACAGTGCAATGGGATGAGGGCTTGCTTGCCCCGTTTGCGCACACAGACCATGAGTTGGTGCCGGCTGGATAGAGCAACTGCAGAACACTATCAAATGCTTTGCATAAGTGGTCTGTTAGTTCCCCGTTAGTGGCTTGCCGGTGGTCTTGGCCGGCGCTTAAGGCGCTTTTATTTTTAGCATCCGGCTTGGCATCTCCAACTTCTCCAAAACACAACCCCACCACCTTCCCCCCAATCTACCCCACCATTGACTACCATCCATCGCGCTTTCACTTCAACAGTTTGTTGCAGGAAGGATTCCTTCCACTTTCTTCCATTGAAGAGGCATATGATTCTGATGGCTCTTTCCGTTACCATCACATCACAGCATCACTGGACTGTCACATCTCGACATAACTTTTAAAGTCGCACAGCATCAAACAGGACCAACAAAGTCAGTCATCGTTAACTGCAGCCAGCAAGAGACCGACCGTTGCGCGGGACCGGAACTTGATGCCCTCGATCTTATCCACGAGCAACGGGGGACGACGGGAGCCACAAGTTACACGAAATCAGGCACGGTAGGGGAACTATCCGGTAGGTATCAATGTGCCGCACACACTGCCCTCTTCTTTACCCTCGAGTCCTCGTCGACTCAGTGTCAACGTTCATGGCTTCTCTACACTGCTTCTTCTCGAGTTCCATATTGCCTTGCAGGTACGTACCGCTTGCCTTCAGGCCTGACTACCTAACAAAGGCTACACCCACGTTGACCTGACCGAACACCAGCACTTTAAAGCATTTGGTTTGCACTGGTTATGCTCAGAATAGTATCCAAGAGATACTATCCCGGGACCAACGGTGACAGCTGTCATTCGTTGTTTTCTATCTTGCACGTCCTTCCACTTCCTTTTCGGGACTTATTCTTCATAGAAGGGGGCCATATCCCACCTTCTATGGTTTGTTTCATCAGACCTTCTGTCCATTTAGTCTTTTACAACTCGTGTCAGAATTCTACTCCGGTCCAATCATACGGTGAGCTCCTCCTCAGCTCCAAGAAGCCGCCCCTGAATGCTCTCCTTTGCGGCGTCGTTATCACGGGACGACCCGAAAGACAACGTGTTCAGGCGTATGTAATCTTGACTGGTCACAGTTATGGCCGCCGAACATGGGGAAATTGGTGCCCCACGGAGCCAAAGACGGCTCTTACTGTTGGTCCTGCGAAAGATCAACGGCCTTAGATCTCAGCTGTTTCATGTTGTATGCTTGGGGCCAAAGCACAACTTCAGCTTGTTAGAGATTTCGGTTGATATTAACATCGTCACATCGAACAATTAGCCGGGTCTCGGGTACGTAGGATTGTCGGGAAGACTAAGGGCTTGCGGGATACTATGCCTGCACGGCTGTATCTCCATCTCGTACTCTCACCAGATGTGCCAGCCAAAACCCCGTCCTGCATCACTTCGAGCAAGCCCGGGCTTCCTCACCATCGGATACCGTCCCGATCCAATGATTGCTCACGTCGCTCTATCCCAACAGTTCCCGCACAATGCTAGCCCAAGTGAACTAGTTGAACCAGTTCTATTTCAACATGGAAATACATACACACTGCAGGATGAAAAGGCCCGAAAAGCTTTCACTCACTCGGAGGATAAGCCGACTAAGCCAGTTTCCAAATCCATACTATTCTTGCACACCTAGTACACCCCTGTGTTCCTGGTAGGGTGTTGTGGTACAGCGCGTGGTTCTTGCGTGATACAACCCATCACAGCCACAGCCTTACCGAAGTCCTTTTTGCGCTGCCCATATGTCACTTCGCACCGTGTATACAAAGAGGTACTTTGGGATAGAGGTGGGTGGCATTGTCTTGACGCACAAGCTTCCATCGCATACGAGATGATTAACAACGCCAAATGTCAGGATCTTATCTTCGCCTCGAGGATGTATTCAGCCTTCAATCACTGGCCGGGAATGAGAAAATCTTCCATGTCTGGAGGACCGTTGCATCCTTGATTCGAAACGTAGACGATCGGCAGATGAATGGATGGCAGATTATGGTTTACCACTTCGAACCGAAAGCTCGGCTCAGAAATACATCGAATGGGTTACGGAAAGGGTACGACGAGTCTCCATCTATGACAATCATTGACACTGCACAGCCAGTCCTCTAGTTTATTGAGCACCATAGTGATTCAACTAGCTCATATTTGATGAACCATCAAAGCCAGACCAGGTAGACCTTTTTGTTCTGCGAGTCGGGTCTAGCCGAGCCTCTTTCGTTGAAGCATAGAATTGAGCAGTCTGTGGCACGATTACCAGGCGTTGACGGCTACACGGTCGTTTTCGTGGTTGACTAGGTGAGTCTGGAAGGAACTCGCCTTTCGTTTCGATTGACCAGAGGTCCAGTATGGCGGAATAATCGGACGAAACCTGGACCACCTGTGCCGCCGCGCTTGCCCTTGATAAGCGACCAGTCCAGCCTGAGTTGGCAGGATCTCCTCGGGACCAAGTAGCTCAACTGGTTCCATTGAGGGTCTCTTCAGTGTGTTGTACCCCCGGTCCACGAAGAGGTCCCGCGTTCGACTCGGTTGCACGTCGCGATGTCTTTCGAGCAAGGCTGGGATTTCGGTGTCGACAGACAACGTCCTCCGTGTTCGCTCCCGAGGAGAATAGTAGTGCCCTGCTACTCGTAATGGATCTTAATTTCCTTTTTTTTTTTTTCCACTTTTTTTTTTTTTTTTCATGTCTGGTGAGTTGGAAGTAAAGGCGAGACAAGATCTGGTGGTAAAAATGTCGAGCATAACGTGACTATGCCGTTCCATGCCGCGCAAAATTGGCGATGGGTTGGGGTATTAGCTGTGAAGTATATTGGAGGACCGTCTTTCGGTGAAGCTTGATGTGGTGTGTTGAATCTTGGTAATGACTGACTTTGCGAGGTTATTTCAACGAAGGGAAAGAATGTGTCCAAGTTGACAATTCGCTCTTGCCCCATATGGAACTAGATATAAACTTCGGGAAGGGGCAGTGGGGGGATATATCATTGGCCCGGTCATCACCTTATATGTGCTTTGTGTCGCGCCTTCGTCTCTTGTGCCGCAAGAAGGGCCAACGCGATGTGGCTCGCGCGGCGAAGGGCTTTGGACGAGGGCAGGCCAAAATTGTTATGTTGATACGGAACTGAAACACTAAAGGCAAATAGCAATGAAAGGTTATTAATGAAAATTGAAAAGAAATAAAGGAAAGACAAACAGCAGTGGTTAAGCGATAGGTAGCTGATGAATACATAGGTAGTTTCGAGATGCATCCATGCGACCATGATAGGCATCTGAATTAGATGGCAATCACCAGGTCAACATTCTAGCGTGTCTCAACTGTCTCTGCTAATGGAGGCAGTGTTTGACGAAATTGAAATCATGATTCGGAGCTCTTTTCTCAAAGCTTTGTGGTAGCAAATGTATAGAAGCGCAAGCTTGAGCCGCTCGCTTCTTTCGGGAGGGTGAAATGTTAGACGGCACACTGTCACACCCCATGAAATGTGATAGTACGACATCCACATGGCAAGGAAGATTGGCGAGTGGTTGGGTAAGATTTGACAGAAAATGACGGGGATACCATCTCATCCCATCGCCGATATGTCCGGGTTATCTGTTCAAGGGGTCCAGGGTAGTATGTTCCAGATATCTTCCATGCGAAATAAGTGTTACCTTACCTCTATCCATAGAGTCAAGGAAGGGCCCCGAGATTGAGGACTTCAGGCTCTCGGTACCTACGAGTGCCTGCCATCATGAGAGCTGATTTCCGAAGAAAGAAACAAGAAACAACGGAGGACTCAACAAAACCTACGTACAAGATGATGGTTCCCCGGCATCAACAACGCCATGGACAACCTCTCGTGCCGCAAGAAAAAACATACACTTGGCTTAATGAAAGATGTCACTCATCATACATGCCCGGGCCTTAGAGCAACAACACGCCTCATGGGAGAAAATGGTGTACATGTACCTATTTGAACAATGGATGAAGGATGGGAGGATTACCGTGAAAGTGGTCTACGTACAAGCCAGCACCGCCCACCTCCGCTAAAACCAAATGATTCCCACGTGTGCCTCTACCACACCCATCTGATGGGCCATTACGTGCATAAAATAATCTCACCACCAGTTAGTGATGCCGAGTGTCGAGTCGGGTGTTAACCCGCCGGCGCCACCCTTCCCGACGGCGGCCGCGCTTAGCTGGACTAGTAAGAAAGGACATGGCTTTAACCTGATTCGTATGGAAGTGAGTGGAATGTGTATGTAATATTTCGTGCAGTCTCAGTCGGGAAGGGCGTTGATGGCGGGTCGGGCCACTGGCTGGACACATAGGAAGCGAGTGAGATGTACTCGCGAGAGGGTAGTGACAATTGGTGGCTTACAATGCGACTGGAGTTCATGTTTGATGGTAACTGTTGGTTCTAGCTAAATGTTTAAGAAGCGGGAGAAGCATATGCTTACGCACAGTGGTCGGTTGGGCAAGTGGGAAGTGGGAGGTTTTCACGAACTGTGCCGCTTGGGTGCTTGGAGGTCATCGGCGGTCATTGACTGGCTCATGCACATCCCGAATCATGGCGTCTCTCATCTTGGGAGACTCGTGAGTTTGAAGTCTTGATCTAAGACACCTTGCTTCCGGTTACCGACTGATTCGTGTATTTCCTATTAGTTAAGAGAAACAACAAAGGCTCGAACAGGTAGCAATATGAGCCAACCGTGGAAGAATAGACAAATATATGTGTAGACCTCTATGCATGTGAGAACGTATGAAAGAGTAATTAGAGAAAGACAAACGATATCAGTTGTAAAATCATAATTCATTATTTACCAGGTACCCAAGTTTTCAATCATATCTGGGCTAACACTATCTTGAACCGTTATGTAGGCTACCTCCCCTTTCCCACTACGGCTGGGAGTTTATGTCTCCGATCGGTAGCAGTATAATCGTTGGTAAAAAGAGAAGTGAAGAGGGAAGTGAAGAGGGAAGTGAAGAGAGTGAGAATTAGAGCCTAATACGCATGCATGGATACTCTTAATGAATGATGCCCTAGTTACTTACATGTACACTTCTGAGACATAAACCGAACCTTTTAACAATGATTGAGTAAGACCGGGATAGCAGTAGTCAACAAAGGAGAGTACAGTTACACTCCACCAAGGAAGTAAACTCAAGAGAACCATGCCAGGAAGAAAGAAGGAAAGATAACCCCGGCACCCATTTTATTACACCCTTAACCGGCCCTGTGCCCTCCATCCCAACCCCAGTTCATTTAAGTTCTGTTTTGCTTTTCGATCCTTCCCATCCCATAATCATATTCAAAGAGACGCCCGTCTAACCCAATCGTCAACGTATTCTCGTTTTCTTCAGACACGCCTCTCAGCACGGCTGGTAGAAGCCGAGGCCGAAGCCGCACCGGAGCCAGCCGGGACGTTGGACCTCCGCTTCTCGCTACTTCTCTTGTTGTCACCCTCTTCCGAGTCATCATCGCTGGGTGCCCGGCTACCGTCTTCCTGGTTCGGCCCCCGGGTCCTGCTCATCTAAAGGGGACAGAGTCAGTCAAAGCACTCAACAAGCAGCGCTCAGTGAAAGAAAAGACAGTAGAACACTTACCCAAGATCGCACACCCCCGACCAACCCAAGGGTATAGCCCGTAATGAAATCGTTTACGTTTCCTGCCGCCTGCGCAGCAGCCTGTGTCGGGCTCTTGGGCGTCAAGTTCGAGGGACCAGCTTGCGCCGATCCTGAAGCCGGGCCAAGGGGACTGGGACTAGTAGCATTCGACACATCGGCGCTGCTACCGCCGTTCTGCGCCATAGCCATCAACTGCGGAGGCAGTCGGGGGAATCCCGAAGGGCTTGGGCTCTGGGGTCGGCTAGACGGCCAGAACTGGCGCAGCTCCTTGCTGAGCTCCTGTCCGGTCGTAGTCCAGTTGCTGCGGATATTGTCACGCAGATCCTGGATGTGCCGCTTCAGGTCAAGCTCGTTCTTCTTCAGCCAGCTGACGTTGAGCTCTTGACGCGACGCACCGCGCTTGAATTGACGGGCAATATACTTTTCATAATCGCGGACGATCCTGCGGAATAAGAAATAGTGTTGTCAGTCAAGAATCTATCATGCATTACATGGGATGATAGGTGAGGGATAACGAACTTTGTGATAATACCAGTGGTGCTCACACCCTCTGTCCGTTGCGTAACCAGGAACTTGCCAGCCGCCTTGATAGGCGCATAAATATCGTCGCCCTCGTCGGCACCGTAGGGGATGTCGTCGTGGGCAACGTAGTCGATCTTATGTTCTTCGAGAAACTCGGGTGTGACGATCCAGGGGCAGTCCTCAATAACCTCATCCACCCACTTGCAATGCCGGACGGTCTCGGCACGCTCCTTGCCTGACAAAACGGTCAAACCCTTGCGCTTGTGTGTATCCTCGTCGCCTGTCACGCCCACAAGGAGGTGGACTTCGGGGAAGGCCTTCTTTGCCTGCTCGAGCTGGCGCATGTGTCTGTGGTACCTTGTGGTTAGCAAGAGCCTTTACAAGAGCTACAAGGAGCCCCTTTCGTTTTCCTCGGCCATATGGGAAGCCCAAGGAGCGTCAATTACCCGGCTCCGCGGGCATTGGCCTTTCGCTGTCTTCAGTCGAGAAACTGCCCACCTCTAGGAAAGAAGAGGAACGTACCCAAGATGGAACAGATCGAAGACACCATCCGCATACACTCTGACTGGCCTACCCACAGGAGGAGGGTTCGTCTTGTATCCCACGGGGTGGGTAAGCTTTCCAATGGGCGGTGGTGCCATAGCCGGACCCTTGGATATTATTGGGTAGCCACCCGTCTTTCCATCTTCACTGCCATTGTTCTGGCCAGCCGTGGCCTTGCGGCTGCTCTTGCGGGTGACTCTTTCGGCGATGTCATCACTGGCTTCGGTGGTATCACTAGGCTCGCCGGGATCGATAGCCTGGGCCTGCTCTATCGCATCGGCGGTGGCGGGAGCTTCTGAGGGCTGGTCGTCGTTGGAGCGCTGGCGCTTGCTAGGCGGGTGGCTGCTAGTGGCCGAGTCTGTCTTTCTGTGACCGGCGGCGGTGCGTGAAGACTCGGGAGCGGTGGTGTCGCCCTCTTCAGCCGAGGCGTCGCGGGACTCGGTCTGGATGATCTGGTCCTGGTTCATGATGGCGGCGTCGACGGGGTCGCGGTGTGCGGTATTGATGTTGGAGTTGGCGATGCTGTCCGCGGCAGCAGAGCTACGCTTGCGTTTCCCAGAAGCCTGAGGCGTCGACGAGTTCGGAGAAGGTGACATGGCGAGTGGATTGGGGGGCAGAAAGAGAGAAAGAAGAGGGGGAAGGAGTTGATGAGTTGGGCCAGCCGATACTAGAGGTCGGGCTTAGAAGTTATGGAGTATGCAATGGAGCAATGGAGCAATGTAGAAGGTACTGCAGTGCTAATTGTGGACCCCGTGCTATACCCCTTGCAATGCAGTTCCTGGTGCCAGTCCCAGCAACGCTTCCTGTATCTCTATGCCATCTGCAGGCAAGAAGCGCTCAGCAGATCAAGAAGCTAGGTGCAGTGGCAGCGTCGTCCGAGGATCTGTGACTGAGATGAGGAGGTGAAGGTGTCGCGCGAATGTGTCTTGTGGCGCGCAGTTTTGGAGTTTAACGGCGCCGGGTATCAGACTTGCGACCTGCAGGTGATTTGACGGGTTGAAAGGTACCGGGTACGAGCACTTCCACTTTCCAACAAATATCGCCAGCTTCAAGATTGTATCCCCAAGTGCCTCTGTCTCTGTGCCTTGTTTTTTCTTTCTTTGCGATTCCGAACTGGTGGAAGACGACGAAGTCTGATTGACGGAGAGTCAATTGGCGCGATAATGCGATTGTTGCAGGGGTGATTGTAACAAGTACTCTTTCAACTGTTGAATCCAATGACGATTCCGAAATCTGGTCGGTCTGGCTTTGGAGAAAGAGTTGCTCTCTTTCACATGGAAAAGATATAGAGAAGACGTCAGAGGGCCCCTTTGCCTGCTACCACACACACCAGAGACGGCAAACAACGTTCTCGAGGCAGATGTTCCTACCTGACCGACACCGCTGATTACACTCCCAGCAATCCGGAACTGGCTTACGCTGTTCACATTCAGACGGCTAAGCATCTCGGGAGAACAACATGTGCTGGCTCAACATTTCACAGACCTAGCATCATCTTTCCCCGGTCGACTAGGCTTTGCGTTCCATTTTCATAGGGCACGCACTGCGCGCCTGAAGAAAATAAGGGTCATCTGCATATGATTTGGCGCCAGCGTCCCCCCTCAATTGCGACGCTATCGCTGCGGTGACCTTCAAGTTTTTCTCTTTGCTGGTCAGGATTCCACCAAAAGGCCAAGTCCCCGGCCGGTCTATTTTCCTCCAGCTAGTGTAGTGTAGAGATAGCGATAGCTTCGCTCTCCAGCGCCAAATCCTGCGAGCGGGAGGTTGTCCAAGTCAGGGCAAGCATCAAAAACATGGCACTAACAAGGGCCGCAATGGAAGCCGGGGGCGGGCATGGGCCCACTGTTAGAAATCGCTAGAAAGCTCGCCCTGTTCGCAAACAGTGGACACCGGAGTGCTTGTCGAGGCCGTTAGTGCAATTGGATGTGACCACCCCGAACGGAACATGGGAACAAGCGAGCGGCGGCAGTGGCAGCTGAAGGGAAATTTTGTTGAATTGCAGGCATTCGCAAAGGGAATCACGTCATTGCCAATTGCCAAGCAAGGGCCAGACCACACCATTAACACCATGTCGGTCTGCGGTACGTATCCTCGAACGTGTGGCTTGTGTCGACGATAAGACCACCACAAACACATTCATGATCGCCAAGGTGGCACATGCCAACATTCTGTTGCTCGTCCGCTTCATTCGACGATCCATCGGCGATAGCGAGGCTGTCGGCAGCATCAAAATCAGTTTGGGGAAATGCTCCATTACTTGTAAGGTCTGGCAGTGACGCTTCAATAGTCGGAACACTCGGCACGACAATGAAAGGTTCAGATAATGTCTGCTTCATTTATGTGTTCCCAAGATATTTGTCATTGGAGTTTGCAATCCTCCCCTGATATCGCGAGTTTGTTCCGTCCCCCAATGCTCTCTCTAGGTATGTACGTGTAATCCCATTCCTTCGCGACTAGAATCCTTCTATAGTCGACTTTGATCATGCTTCAAAAAACCCAAACCCAGTATGTAATCATCGCCCCTTCATGTAAGTATCAAAAAAGAAACCCGCCCAAAACCGAAAACCCAGACCACTGTTCACTGCAAAACCACCTTCGACTTCCGCACAAAGTGTCGCCCACACCGTGTCTTGTCGCCAGGCTTGCTCATATAGCAATATGACTTAGCACCCTCGGGCGCAATCGGCCCATACTTCTCCCGGATGGAGCAGTACTCCATGTTGTCGCCCATCCATTCCTGGATGTGCTTATGCAGCTGGCACCGCGTGACACCGCATTTTCTGCAGTATGCTTGGCCACGGACCCGGAGCTGCGACAGAGACAGAGACTTCTTGCTCTCTTCCTCGCTCTTCTCTTCCACCGGAGAGCATGGCGCCGATTTCCTGACAGTGCCTGCAAGATGCCACGCCCACTCCAGCTCGTTTGGACCTTCGCGCCGCGTCCTGAGCGGAACAGTCCCGTGCATTCGCCGGTGGATGGCGTAGAAGTGCTTGTTGGTCAACCCGAGACAGGTGCTATCGATAGGGTCGAGAAAGTCGAAGATGGCCATGTGTAGCTCTGGTGGCAGATCGAGCAAGAGCTTGCCTGCCGATGGCATGGGCAACGGCAAACGATCCGTGACAGAGTAAGACCGGCGAGGAGGGCCCAGCGCAGGCCTGCGGAGTACCGTCACCTTCTCTTCTGTCGGCTTGGGCTGGCTCCTCTCCTTTACAGATACGACCGGCTGCTTGGCAACATCTTCTTCGGGAAGCTGTTGAATAGTGTGGAGGGTAAAGAGAGGGGGCTGCGGGATGTGATATTCCTGGAAGGTTTGAGACCGGCGTGGAACTCGCTTTCCTGACCGCATAAGGCTCATTTCCTTCCTCCTGTGATCCTCTCTGGTGAACGGCAACCCCGAACCCTGCAAAAGGGTTGGCGTGCTATAGAGAACCTCGACCATGGTGGTGATGGATAGTTGATCGGTACTAAGGTTCTCCCTCGATGGTTGTTGTTGTAGCTGATGTGGTTGTTGTTTCGTAGCTGCTTCGTGATAACAATCCCTCTTTGATGACGGTTGTCGTTGAGGGTATCGATTTGTATGACTTGTATCAAACTGGAGCGGGTGTAAAAGGTCGGTTGATTTAAGATGGTGGCAATGATGCCGGAGGATGGAGGTAGAGGCAAAGCGGGCTGGGCTGCTCTTATAAAGACTTCAGGTACCGATGCCGTCGGCCACACGGAGATAATATACGGATCCCCTCACTAGCAAGCTCATGAGGAGGTGGAGGGTGGGATGACGAGACGGGAGGGGGAGGGGGTGATAGTCGTAGACGTGGTACAGACGGATCGATAGGCGGGACGGGTTTCTGGGGAAATGTCTTGGGTGTGGAAGTGGAATCCAGCAAGTACCTTAGGTTGTACCTGACAAAGAAAGTGGGCAGGAACCAAGATTCTGGTTCGCTGAGTTGGAGGCGTAAATGGAAAGAGGGCAGAGTGGAAGGCGATGGCTGAACGCGGATTAGATTCCGATGGAGAAAGGGTGAGGTGAAATAGTCTGTCCAGGACAAAAAAGCTGAGACCTTTTATGCCAAATCTTAACGGGTGATCGGCAAAACAGGTCTCAGCTTTTCTGTCCCGGGCGAGGTAGTGTAGTCTCCGGAGGGAAAATTCCAGGGCTCGTTTGTGACACGGCGCTAGGAGAGCGGTGGAGGGGATCGTCACGAGGCCAGACAGGCCTTTGCATGTTACTTTCACTCCGATGTTGCCTTTTTCCTGGTTCCGTTGCGATCCGTTTCCGGACGGGCGGACGCCTCTTGGAACGGCCCGGTACGGTCGGAGTGCATTCTGCGTATGTGCACTATCACGCTATACATACATGTGCTGTCAAGTGCCGCCGCTGATCTTCTTGCCGTTGCTTCATGTTGTCTGTCAATCGCTGATATCCTCAGCCCGGTGGACTCGCGGTGGAGGTGAAGGCAAAGTAGGGTCTCAGGCGTTGTGGGATTGTGGGTTCGAGTGGTATCAAGATCACAAGAAAGAGCAAACTGGCAGTCGTTCTTTGGTTCATCCCAATCTGGAGAGGACCTGGCACCTAACGCGCTGCATTGACGTTTGTCTGAACGGGCATCAAAGAGTAACCAATTCACAACCACAGACGTCGTTCAGCCAGGAAGGGAATCGACCAATCACAGAGCGTGGTGTACATAATCCAAGGAAGCCGTTTATCGATCGGTCTTCGAAGAAGTCATCAATCGATCGGCCAGAACATGTTGGAATCCTCGTGTTGCACTGCTAGACTTTGCTAAGACCTGCTTTCCTGCAACCTTGGCCGGGATAGCAGGGGTCTGGTCCCGTCTTGGACTTTTGGGAGTTGGGACCTCAAAGTTGTATCTCCGTGTGGGGATATGCTTGAACGACTTGGATGGAATTGCCTGGACTCTCCAAATATGTGGCACACGGCACCCCCTTTGGGTTTCGCAGTCGTTGCCTTGTTGATACACTATTCCCGAGTCATGATGAATCGCGGACACTGATGGTACGAAAATACCGGTACCATCTTCCTCCCTCTGCCGTTTTTCTTCGTCCGATAACGTGCATGTCAGTGTTCCCATCTTTACGGGCGTGTTCCAGTTTACTCCCAGTTGATCGAGTCTGTTGATCCGTGTAAAACGTTAAAATCTGCAGTCTTGATAAGGGGGTCTTTGTACCATTTTGTCTTTTTTCTTTTTATCTTTTATTGTATGGTGGCGCCTGTACGTGTTTGGTGGCGTATGTAAGCGAGGCTATACGTAGGGGTGCAAATTATTATCGAGATCCTTTACAAGATGCTTCGTTTTTTATGTTGTGAGACTGTGATTATTATAATGAGCTTAATTTTGAAGGTATTTATTAATGGAGATATCTATTTGGTAGTTGGGAAGCCGCTTTATAAGATTGTGTAACGTTTATTTGATTACTAGGTGTGGTGGTTGATGTTGTTGAGGTCGAAGGTTTAAGGGGTAAAAAAGGGGATGTAAATAATAGTTTATTGTAATGATAGTTGGAATCGAGTAAATTGTAGGAATCGTGCTTTTGAGCGTTTGAAAGCTATTATTATTAGTAATAGTAGCTAGACGTTGTAAATCGCTAATTTTTTGGTTAGTTGAGTCGAATCGAGTCGATTGGAGTATTTAATTGGGAGTTTTCGAATATATAAATATAGGTATTAACTTTGTGATTTTGTTAAATAGAATCCTCTATTACTAGTATTTTTATTTATTACTTCTTCTCTTGCTTATTATGTCCTCCCGCCGCCTCTAGATCGCTAGTTTTATCGACGACGTTAACGACGATAATAATTTTAATTTGGATGAGTTTATTTATAATGGCCCGCGTGGCTTAGCCCTTAGCTGGTATGAGGATTCCCTATCGATATTTATAATTTTGGTAATGTGCTGCCTAGTTATATTAAGGTATAGGAGTATAGTATTATTAGTTTTACTACTATTAACCGCCTTCCTCTTCGTCCTTTAATTATTCTATTGGCTTCCTAATTAGACTTTATATTCCTTGTACCCCGTATTAATTGGCGTACGTATTCGAGCTAATTGCTTATTCCCTAACTTACCCCCCGTCCTTCTATTATAGCTCCCCCTTTATAAGTAATTCGGGTTACTAGTTGGGGTAGAGGTTAGCGAAGTCGAAGTTGAGGAGGTATTAGAGGTAGTTAGGTAAGTTAATTTGGTATTAGCGTGCTTATTTTATTATTTTGCCGGTTATTAATTATCCTTCTATTGTTTAACGAGGGTAATGATAATGGCGGCGACGATAGCGATAGTAATAGTAACCCTTTTTTAATATTTCTATTATACGGCTACGGTTATTAGTCCTTCCACCTAATACTTAGCCTCCTAATGCATAGCCTCCTAGTGCTTAGCCCCCTAGTACTTAGCTTATTACGGCTTTTACTTCTAATAATAGTAGGGTATCCCTTCGATAGATTGATGCTTAGAAGTAGTTATTTATGATTATTTTCGCCGAATTTTCTAAAAAGGGCAAGCTTTATAGCGAATTAATTGGTTGGTTAAAGAAGGCCCTCAATACGGCGGGCGAGGCGTTAGTGATGGTATGGTTAGACGTTAATTAGGGTTATGAGCGGTTGCGGAATCGTTGGAATATTTGTAGGGATGATTATTGTTTATGGATTGATTTCTTTTAGAAGATTAGGGTAGTCTTTAACGAGTCGACTAGGCGGTTTGAGGCGGATGAGGATATATAAGTTTCTTTCCTTAAAAGTAAGCTATTAGGGGTAAAGTGGTTGAAGACGATTCTTTTTAAGTATTGTGACGAATATACCCTAATATTTGCTATCGATTGAGCGATTAGTAAATATATTATTAAATTAGAATAGCGATTATGGTAATAGTTAGAAGGGAGGGATGTCTGGGAGCGTGACGGTAACGATATTGCCCTGGCGAAGAAGGATAAGGGGAAGGGGAAGGCGAGGAAGAGGAGGGATTTAATAGGGGAGTCGATAGGTTGTAATAGTAAGGAAGTATTTCTTTACATATAGTCGATTATAAAGAGGAGGTTTGTGACGGCGCTGGCAGACTGGGTCTGGGTGCCATGCACGAGGTGGCTGCTGGAATAAGGTATATAGAGGATTCTGGGTATGGCATGGTCTAGGGGATGTAAGTTATTTAATTGGCTATACTAAGATTGGGTATAGGGTTTGTCCTATAGGTGAAGGGGATACGAGTGAAAGGATTAGCTAATAGCGACCCGTATATAGGTCCCGTTATGGCTTATACAATTAGGGTATTTATTTAGGTCTGTACGTTTGTACCTAGTTTTCTTCTTCTTTTCTTTTCTTTATTTGAAATCTTCTATTATAAATAGAACTTTAGCTTTGCCTTCGATTCACCTATATTATACCCTTACATTATTTTAAATTAACTTAATAATTACCTAGGAAGGTTAAATCCCAAACCGAATACGAAATTAAAAAGATCTATTGTAAAATTCAAAATACTAAGTATTTATAATAATAATACGATAGTACTACTATACTAAATACGTAATAACGCCGGTAACTATAAAAGCACCAAGTAGATTAAGAATTATAATAACGACCGTTATAACGATAATGTTTCGGACGACGACCTCTTTAGCGAAGAGGGCGGAGATAGTAATAGAAAAGAAGGCTCTGGCTCTTTCGATCCCGACCCTTTATAAAAGGAAGATACGGTTATTAAACTGAAGCTTAAGAAGAAGGTCGTTATTAATGATAAGAAGCCTACTCCTATATACTAAATTATTAATTTCATTATTAAAGACAACATATATAAAGTTATACATTTTAATAAGGAATACTATAATAGCCTCTACTTAAATAAGAAACGCTTTTATAATAAATTTACAATCCTCCATAAGAAGTTCTTATACTATATATATTATTAATTAAAATTACCTGACGAAATATTAGCTAATACGGTTGCTAATACAAGAGAAGATGACGAGGAGCCCGAACTATCCTTTAACTTATTTAATTAATATATTACAACGGCGGTTGAAGATATTAACACCTTCAATATTCGCTTAATTAAATATAAAATTACTAATAATTTAAAATAGAAAATAGAAGAATTCATTAAATTATTTATCTACAACTCCGTTCCTAGTATCCCCTTCTAAATATTACTTCCTTCGAACCTCCTGGTTTTTAACTATTTAATTAAGGAGAAGTTTATTAAACTATACCGTAGAGACCCCTAAACTATATTCTAAGAATTTAAATTATTATTTATTATAAGTATAGTATAGAAGGAGTAGGTATTAGAATTTATCGCTTCGTTTCCTATTTGAACGTCAAATTTAAGACTATTTACGATTGGGTCCTTACTTTAGCCGACTGCTATAGCGCTACTACCCCTGCTATAGTTTAATAGTTGAAGGATTCCTTTATTAAAAAAGACGATACTATCGAAGGATTGAAAATTTTTATTACCGACTTGAATATTAGTAAAGGAATATTTAAAAATAAGAATTAAAATAAGGGAAAGGTTAAAAAAACGATACTCCCTAGTATTAAAAAGGACGTTAGCGAGGTTCCCCTTAGGGCTTTTACCTACTTTTCGACTTTATTTTCCGAAATCGACCCCGATAATAGAGAGTACTTTAATTCTAGTTCCCGCTACCGTAGTACTAAATAAACCGACCCTGCTAAGTATTATAATTAGAATAAGGAAGATAATATTCCTTTCGAAGCTTAGTACGATTTGATTTAAGATAAGTTTGAAATTCACGCCGATTATTATTTATTTAATTACAATAAGTTTTTGTACGTTAAGAACCGATTAGTTAGCTATACTTATTATAATT